ATATATATATAGCGCGTATATATATATATATTACAGGACTTGAAGCCATCGAATATTGCTGTCAATGAAGACTGCGAACTAAAAATCATTGATTTCGGATTGGCACGCCAGGCCGAACCGGAAATGACGGGTTACGTAGCTACGAGATGGTATCGTGCTCCAGAGATCATGCTTAACTGGATGCGATACACCCAAACTGGTAAGGAGACGTTTCCCTTATTGTGTGATGTGAATCTTTGCCATTAAACATTCTCGGCCGTCGCGTGGATAGTTATGTCGAGGTACTGCGAAAACGTTTCGGGTCTAGTCTAATTGTTGCTGGAGTTAGTAGTCAGCAGGGGATGCCATGGCAGCCTCAGAAAATAAATGCGTACCTTATTGACTTCGTAATATAACCATATCAGCTTGATTTTTGTCTTTCAGTCGACATCTGGTCAGTCGGGTGCATTATGGCAGAACTAATCACATCTAGGACCCTTTTTCCTGGCAATGACCGTAAGAAAATACGTTCGAATTTATTCTCGCAATTTATCGTTGTGCACCACAGACATATCCAAGTAAAAATTATCCGTTTGCTTGTACTTGCTAGTTGTTTCCGCTGTATTTTAGTCTTGCGCACTGATCACTGACCGACTTTTATCAAGCAATTGAATTAGCTTTTTTGGTCGGTCCCTAGATCAGTTAATTATATATTTCAAAAGGATCTCCTTTTTTTTTAGATATGTTTTTTTACCATAACATGCACTAGGTTGATCATAAACAACCCAAATTTTCGCGTAGATTGCTCTAACAATCTGTTTTGCCAGCTGTTCAGCTGCTAAATTAAAACATGGCTAAGTATGTTAGGTCAGACAATAGCCTACCCTGTAGCTTGAAATTGTTTATTCTCCTAATCGTTAGTGTATATACTAATGAAACGAATGCATGTCCTATGTGTGCGATGCCCCTATCCATGCGCGGCTGTAATCATTTTTTCCCAATACGCTATTCGCTTCATCGACATGAACCGAACTTGTCGTGTTTTCGATGCCCTGTTGGTCAATCTCTGCCCACCACCACCTACGCTTCTATCGCCGTCCTGCTCGAAAATTGATTACCAGATATTCACCAGTTACACGTAATCATCAAATATCTTGGCACGCCCTCAAACGATTTCATCGAATCGATCAGTTCAGAAAGTGTAAGTTACTATTGGTCTCTTGCCGTCGTCGGCGCGTTTTTATGAGGCACTTGAAGTTGCCAGTTCTTTTGTTTTTGATAATTTACCGATCGAACTGACTCACTGTTTTTCCATAGCTGACATCTGCTCGAAGCTGTACAACTTTACAACACGGTAGAAATCCTCTATGGTGAAAAGTGGGTCAGAACAGCTATAGTACGAATGGTTATCGTTTCTTTTTTGTTATATTTTAGAAGGTGAACTACTCCGTTGCTATGTAACTGCACTAACTGTTTAAATGGATCCACGTTTCGACATTTTTCAAAAATTGTCAACAGTATAAATGTACTAGCATGTAGGGAATATCTACGCGAGGACTTTGCGGTTCCACTATAATTTGCTTGCAGAGAACTCACTTTAATGGTGTATAAAATTTTGTAAGGCGAGATGATTCGGGTTTCGCGATAAGACATATGTTCCTACGAGACATATAGTCACCGCTGTCCCGATGTTAATGAACGAACAATAAGCATTAATTTTGAACTATTTGGGTCAGTCATCGTTTGCCCTGTTTATGGACATCTACCGATTTCTTATCTCTGAGCAACGTGGGTCCTGCGGCACATACATGTATTGACCGTGGGTAAGATATAGCATGCTCTTAGATAATATATTGAAAACTGTTTACTCAATAGGCTTCCGACATTTGCCTGTGCCCATCACGTAATTAATGCATATCCGAGCAGAAAACTAGCAGACGACACGAGTCAGTTGTATTCATATCAGTGTTTTGTCATATTGCAAACCCTACCCTTGCAATTTAAAGGATTCCAACACTAAAATCTGCGTAAAGGCTGTGTATGTTGCAAGCTAATGTGGCCTCAAGCGTGTGTCTTTTTATAAAATACCGTATAAACCAATTTAGTCGTTACGATTCGAGCAAGCGAAATCGCAACAGGTAATTGGCAACCCCTTAAAAAGCCTTAACCAACAAAACGTGCATTACTAAAAAAACACCTCTGACGTGGTCCGAAATTTGGATACTAACCATTCTTTATGATTAAATCTAGATTCATCTATCGTAAACAGTACTACATATGAATTTTGTATGGAACCGAAAAGTGATTGTTTAATCCAACAACATGTTGACGATTGAACCGATCGGTTATTGCTGATTATATTTTTATTCAATTTTGTGTTAATCTTTCATGATTAAATATAATTGCGCTCTTTCCTGATACGATTCCACTAATTCCGCTACACCGAAACATCGGGAACTATCGAAGATATTGATCAGCTGATGAAGATTATGCGCATCACAGGGACGCCCGATGACAAACTCTTGCTGAAAATGCAATCAGAGGAGGTAACGGTCCACGCGTGCAATCGCTATCAGTTTACAAGCAAATCATAGAACAATAACGAGCTTGACTGATTAAATTGAGCTTAACCCAGAAAATCCAACAGAAAGAGAATGAAAATAACGGTAGCAAACAGTCGCAGGTTGCCATCTCTGTCCACTTCTGTCATGACAGAGGGGTGGTAATTCATAGTAGAGTTCAATTAAGACATCCCAGATTGTTTGTCAAAGAATCGAGCGTGACGAGTGTAAGAAAACTAGCCTGTTTATCGCGTAGCTACGTGCATGTTCGTTTAAAAACGCCAAAGCAATCACTCGAAAGAGATCAAGCTGATGTCTTGTATTTGCTGCGTAAACACCTAAGCAGCATGTAAGAGCCGTGGGCTTACAGGCACGAAGCCTGCGAAGGGACTCGATACACCCACGAACCGATCTAGTTCTAGTATTCGTCTGTTTGTCAATAGGTCCCAAATTCTACTTTAATTTTTTCGTCACGAATAGAGGTGCTAAGGCAAAAAGGGTCAAGGCTTTTATTAGCTTGCTAAAGTCCGGAGATCCCAGTTGGTACCACTGCTCCGAAAATTGGTACATTCGGAAGAAGCATGAAGATACTCCGAGTACATTTTGATGGGGAGTACTGTATGCTTAGCAGAATCCAACAAATTGTGATAGATAATTTTGTGTTCTACTTGTGGCACAGCCTAAGAAAACAATTTATTTCTACGTGCCTTGCGCATCAAGCTACTCCTATGAATAGGATGTACCTAGTGAGTACTAATCAGTTAGTGATTTTGTTGCGTCTGTATAGTAAATATATAATGTCGGTCGTTTCAGGCTCGAGAATACATTCGGAAATTGCCTGTCGTTATAAAAAAGGATTTCAGACAACTGTTCCCCGGAGCCAGTGCAGCTGGTGAGCTACTGATTATCGAAAAGACACTTTTATTTATGCTATTCGAGTGTAGGTTTGATGCTTTTTTAGAAAAAAAAAAAGACGTTACGTTTCAAATCGATAACGATTATGTTGTCTTGGCTTACTCTGTTAATTTACAAGTATCAGCTCTTGAAGCGATAGTTTTACCAGGAAATAGTGTAAATAAAAAAAAATATCTCTTGTATTATATTTTAGCAATTGATCTTCTCGAAAAAATGCTTGAACTTGATGGAGACAAGCGGCCGACAGCTGCCGAAGCTCTCCAGCATGGCTACTTTGCGAAGCTACATGATCCTGAAGATGAACCTGTAGCTGACCCTGTCGATATGTCCTTCGAGGAACGTGAACTCACCCTTGAACAATGGAAAAGTACACATGTCATCAAATTTTATATCTAGAGGTCGTTTGCCGCCAGAGAAATTAGCTTACGGAAACCATTGCAGACATGAAACTCATGTAATTATCTAGCTACGATGTGAGTTCCGCACAACATACTAAGGTTAAATGTCTTTCAAAACTCTTTTCAGGATTATGCTATGAGGAGGTTTGCCATTTTACCCCGCCAGCGATACCCATTGAAAACTAACGATTGTCAGAACAAGTTACCTCTTGGAAACTTAATTCTGTAATTAGCTACCAGCTTTCTAAGGGACCTCGAAAAATGCTGCTGAATCGGTTTTTTAGCTCATCGAAGACGATGATCAAGTTTCTGGTATTGGTCAAGCCTCTTTTCAGTCTACGTTTACCCTTCATAGAACATTTTCGAGGATATTTCAATGGGACGGGCATCCGAATATCGACCAGTACCACATTGCTGCAACAAGAGGCTGCCTCGACGCAATTAAGTGTATGTTAGAGGACCTGAACCAAACTAAATACAGCGTCCATAACCCCAATGCCCCTCAATGATGAACTAGGCTCTTCATGGACGACTTTAGGATATTATGAACGAGTTGTGATTTTTTGCTTTGAAGCCACGAAGATTTAAAGGACCTAAAAGAGGCCATAGAGATATATAACTAGCTGAGTTTCGCGTTTGAAAAGTGTGAGCTCAATAGGCTGTTATTGCCATATATATATAATATCGTTTGTCTACGTCGATTTACATGACATGAGAACTAATCAACAACACAACAGATAGACACCAGGCATTTTATTAACACTGCTGGCAGGATATAAATATTTCATCTTGAAATCACGTTATGCTTCCTTCCTTTCCTTCATGAATATCAACTTCACATGCGCTCGAACACATCAAATATAACAATACATAAGCTTGCGCATTATAATATTATTAAAATGATGAATTTTTGCAGCTGACATCTAGTTTTGTTGAGCGGTGAAGCACGTATTGACATAGTGTGAACTTCTAAATATTCTGTCATATAATATTATTATTAATCATCATCATTTAAAAGGCGACAAAATTTTAAATGACATATCCACACGTGTCAAGTACATGACCGGAATAGGATTTTTCTAGACATAGAAAAAAAAAAAGCACATATTTTACAGGACAAAGCCATGAAGATACTTGTTAGTATCGGTAGTTTTGCGACGAAAATAGTAGAAATATCACAATGGCAATAATGCAGCTGTATGAGAAAAAAAGATTTCGAAAATATTTTACTTGACAAAACCTGCCACCTTCGTGAACGTTAAGGGAAAAACGGTGAATCTAAAATAAAAACCATAATGGCGGTCATATGCAACATGAACGCGCAGGTTCCCGCCATATTTTACGGCTAGACAGAACTGTAAACAAAATAGTGTATTGGGATTGTTAATTACGACGCAAGAAGTAGACGATGTAGACACAGGTGATAATAAACTATCGAATATCGAGTACAAAATTAATTTTATAAAGGTAAATGAGAACTATTATAGGTTGTTTTTCACTGAAAGTCAAATAGGTTCACTCACATGTTAATGATCGAGAGCCCGTGAATAGTATGCTGCTATACGACTATGCTGTTAATAGAATTAGGTTTATGGGTTTAATGATAAGATTTCATTTATCATTTTGCTGAATTGCCTTCATTTGTATAAGTTAATTCAACTCGTTTTTTACTGTTTTTATTATATGACTGTTTTTAACTCGTATCGTATGAATATGTCTTACATCATACAACAGGTGCTCTGTTTTTTGTACAACACTTCGATTTTTTGTCATCGATAATCAATTCTGTCTTGGTCATTACCACTAGTAGTATATTCCGTGTATATGAAGATATTTTCTCTGAATTACGTTGTTTCGATTATGATCAATTTCCGCGCTCACGGACAACTGTCGTTTTATTTCCTTAGGCAGAGGGATCGATATAGATTCTTCAAATAAAAAAGGTGAAGTATTCGAAGAAAAAATCTAAACTGATATCACGCTAATAAACTTTATGAGGGTAGAATCCCTATACTTGTAAAACCAAATAAGCAAATAGTGAATTACATGCGGTTGTCATTCCTCGACACTCTGGTAGGGGAGGTCTACATCTTCTACAGCGAAATGTCATTCAGCCTTAAGCCCGAGTTCTGGGTATACGTTATGAAGTTATAATAATCTCTCTCTACTACAAAGCGTTTGAAAAAGATAAAAAGCACATTGGATTCTTGTGCACAATAATATTTATTCTACCAAACAGGTGAGATCAGCTCGTTTCTATTAGCTTCATCGTGTTATTCCTTTCGATTAGCTAATCTATAGCATAACATTTGTATCGTAAAAAGATTTTTCGCCGGTAACTTCACTTGTAGCCGCTATTTCTAACAACGACCACAAGAAAAATTCTTACTTGTGTAATTAGCTTCGTTTATATATAATATATTTTACATTTATAGGTTAAACATCAAGTGTGTTTATATATTGTGCCATACGGATTTACTCTGCTGTCGTGATGTGCATCTTGTCTGTCGATTCAACTTAGTTCCATTTTTCTTTAATTTGAAAATGAACTTCAGTATATAATATCAGATGTCAAATTCACAGCCAAGTTATTCAAAGAAGATACGCCGACGGGTGGGTCATTTTAATTCACGAATAACTGAAACAAAACGTAAAAACACGTTCTGACAGAAACTATCTATAATTAAGAACTGAAATGTATGTAATGTGTGGTACGGCTCAATTTTACGGTTTCCTATCTTGCATTGCCCTTTGAGCGTATCAAGGATTATGTTTATTCATGCAGCGTGACAGGAGCTTAAGACCCAGCAGTTTTTTCTAGCTTCAAAAAGTAGATAATGATATAATAATAATAATAATAATAATATTCAATTATTATTATTATTATTAAATAACGGCTTAAGTAAGTCAATTTTCTCGTTTGCCATTAAAAATTCAACATTCAATCGAAAATGAAAAATAGCGTTACACGTAAGACATTTTTCTATTTGATGCATTAACTCTGAATAATAAAAACTCTAGGGAATGGTTTTCATCAAATCCTCCAAGAATTGTTCGGTTACTTAACTTTATCATAGCAAACACTTAGAAATATGGCGGGGAACATTACTAAACCGTAATATCAATACCATGCTTTTAAACATTGATGAAGGTTATAGAAAGATTAATGTTTGTATAAAACAGAACTAAAATAATCAAATAGATGTATCTTAAATACGACTAGGTAGTTAACAATGCGAATAACATGTCGTTATATCGACACTGGGAATGCAACTCGTTAGCTACAAAATGGACCTATAGCGTGTGATAGAGTAAGGGATTTATTTTTAATCCATTATACACAAAGTAATATAATCAATTTAGGACAACAGTTCTTAAAGCTAACCTTCAAATCATCTTACGCTCTCAAAATCAGTAACTAGCCCTATTTATGTATTTCTGTTTGCCGAAGGAAACGAAGGTTCTAATGAAGCATAGGCTGAATACCAGTAAAGATACAGTACAGCTTCAGCATAAGTTGACAAAAATATTTTTGCTTACATCAACCTAACATAATTCGAACACCAATGGCCACCCGAACACGGACCTTCCGGTGGGTTTTAATATGAGAAGGGCAAATTTACAGCAGTCGCAGGTTCGGCCAGCGTAGCTTACGAAATCCTGCATTCCATAATTTGTCCATGATCAGGGTGCTGTTTCAGGTCTGCAGTCAATTACATCGATAGACGTTATTTTATGCAACGATATAATTTATATTGTTGTATTTGGGCTTTTCTTTCGGCTTCAAGTCTGCGGTGTTTTTAATCGGTGTTTTCCTCGAAAGTCTTCAAGTACTATATCGACGTTCGGGGTTCATGCGCGAAAGCAAATACTGGACAGGAACGAATAATCTGAGACGAGAAACGAAAAACATAAATTTTTATTTCGATTCCTATTAAATAAGAGGGTCTTAATCCGTCTAAGGAACGAGAACTCTTCCAACTTGCGAACGTCGCTGTCAGAAAAGTCGACAGTGTCGAACTGGTCCAATGTCGCTCCCAAATCCTCGATCTCAAGGAAACGGTGACGTGCAGCACGAACATTTGGCTTAGTCGTTTGCAATGATTGTAACTTCTCATCAACCAAACATACACAACGGGTACCTGTTGGCCTGTGATTTGCGAAACTTACCATAAGGGCAAACGAACCATTTTCTTTAATCGTGGTTGTATTTAAGCTAGCGGTACATGTAGAGACAAAACATAGAGGAGTGCTTTGGAATTTTTTCAGTTGAATTATACGAAGAGTATTTGTGTCTAATCGTCACTGTACCACTTTTTTCATCTGATATTGATCTAGTGTAGGCGTCAACGCTAAATATTTTCGTTTTGTGCTAGCATCTAAATTATACGATGTTTTCCAAGCAAGTGGCGCTATTCTACGGCAGATTAGTAAAAATGTAATGCTTTAGTAATCAAAATAAGCTTTATTCATTATATTTATCTGCCAAGCAAAAAAGTTCAAAAATCACCAAGGCATGGCTTTACTGGCAATGCTTAGAGTTAAGGAATGTTGAAAAGCTGAAAAATCTATAGTGTACGTTTATCAATAGCAAAAACTTCAGAGGACTACGTTATTTAACTTTCTAATTCTCTATACTACCCTTATTATTTGTCTCATTACAGCGGTATAGTATGTCGTCAACGGAACACCAAGTCGTAGTCATCAAACGTCTATCAAGTCCGGAGTATCGTCTATGCAAAGTGCACCTAGCAAGAGATCTACTTTCTACGGAGTATTAATTATGAATACGTACGTTCATTTATTCTAAATCAATTGTAACATTAGTATCCACAAAGCGTAAAGTTATATAGGCCACCCGTGTTATGCTACAACCGATTTTCCACTAACAGAATTAATCTTCAAACAATTGTTGATCACGCTGTTCATCACTCTGTACCGTTTAGTTTCGTGACAGAATAATCATTTGCTGAAGCATATCCATCTCGTAAAAAAGCGAACTTAATATAATATCTAAAAGATTTGAGAAGGATATGTTGAATTCGGGTCCTTCAGCCACGATATGTACTCAGACATGCACCCCTATGATATTTTAGATCTTTTGAATCTTTTTTCGATCATTATCAATCTAGTGGATTTTGTGATTTCATGTAGTTGTAAGAATATGACAGGTCCAGGTCTGTAACGCCGATACGTCATTAAGCTTCAAGCCATTTTGAGTGCTGAGTGCACACTATGACGTTATGCATTTACTGATCTTTCTGATATTATTATTATCTACTGATATTATCAAATGTTTGAAGGAAAATAACAAGGAACGCTGGATTTTTATATGTAATATTTATTTCGACCATATTTAACTGTTTAAACTAGCTCGCTTTCATTGGTTAGTCAATCGTTTACAAACGGCTTATATGCAAAAATATTTTCCCATCGTTTGTTCGGAAACCCGCCCCTCCGTTTGTAATCGCCATTCCTGGGAACGACCATTGAAAAAATAGCGCCCACTCACGTCAATAGCTTTGTCTATCTATAATATATCTATATATTTACAGACTAAACATAGTGTATTTATGTACTGTATACTGTAAGAGTGTACCCTGTTGTCGGAATATGTATGCTGTATGACCGTTCAACGTAGATTTATTCTTCGTTAATTCAGAAATAATCTTAGGTATATAGTCCCAGACAAAATTTACGTCGAAATTACTTAAATATTGGTATTGGTGAGTAGACCGCATTTACATGTTGCCTCAGTAAATCAAAACCAAACTAAAAAAACCTCCTGAAAGAAGTCTAAGAAAAACATGTAGTATGTGATACAGCTCTCCCTAGCCATGTCCCAACTTAAATTTTCCTTTCCATATTTGCTCATTTAGCATGCCAGGGGGCTAGATCGTTAGACATTTGTGAATATTTCACCTCCTAACTTTTAATTACAAAGGGAAATGGCGATATCAACGAGTTCATTTTTTTCGATTGAAAGAGTTCAATGTCTAATCAAAAATTGAAAATTTCGTCATTAATAAAAATATATTTTGCTCTGAGTATAAATCCTTAAGTCCACATTCATCAAATTCTGAATATGAGCGTCTACGTTCAGCTGAAATTATGCGAAATTCTGTCTTTGGTACGCTTTCAGCGAAGACAAATCGTTAAATTAGGATAACCGAAAAATCATTCATTGCACAAAGCCTCTCACCAAATATAAAACCTACGTCTTTCAAGTGTCTGTAGCAATTCGTGTGTATGTGTAAAGGTGTAAATTGTGTGCATAGGATTTCCTATATTCTTCACTTGCTAGTCAGAGATTTAGGTCTCCATTTCGTTGTCCCCCTCATCCTCTTCAACTTCTTCGGTATTTTCGCTTTTTTTTCCTGAAATAGTAGTCGAAAAGCAAATAAGCTTTATGTTTTATAGCTGAGCGCTACTACTTACTTTAGATTTGGCAGCACGAACCGAAGTTGGTCCGTGACCGTAACCTTTTTCCGAAAAGCTATGTCAGAGAATCTACTATCAGTTTTGGATGATTAAGTCACAGGACCGGATTCATTAACTGACAGATGCCTTTAAGCCTATATTCAACTTCCCACACCTATCGAACTAACAGAACGCCCAATAAACTAGTTCAAAACTAATCAAATTTTCCTCGAAGGTCAAAAACAAAACACGCGAAAATACAGCACGTACGCGTCGATCAAGAGCCTACCGTTAAGTGATTCGTTTGTTTTATTTGGCAGCTGTCCGCTACGAAGCAGCTGCGTTAATCTTTCGATCTCGTCCAGCGTTGTCGCCTTGCCAATCGCTTCCTTAATTGCTTGCTGATCCTCCGGCGTCATAGCGAAAGTGTTCTCAAGCTAAACAAATACGCGTGGTAAAAAAACACAAGTAGGACAAATATAATTTCATCATCTCTCTGCTTTAACTCCGAATCTATAATCATACTAATAGTATTATTATTATGAGGGTGTATAATATAGGATGTACAGTGTGTCTCGATGAGAATAATAGACGGAAAGATGTTTATATCTGCTCACCTTTGCGGGTTCTCCAGGCACGAATGTTTTGGCTTTCTCCGGGGCAGACTTCAGGCCAATTTCCTTTGCGAAAGCCTCACCTTTTTTGCCCTTGAACATCTTGCGTGCTTCATCACGCTCCTGAAATTCAGTCAGTAGTATTAAGTGTGAATTGTCACAATCTTGACATTAGATGTCCTTCATTAAATCATTAGAGAACCTACGTACCTAACCGTTCAACTATAAACAAAAAATATGCCAAAAAGCATCACAAAACCATGATATTAGTAGTCAAACAACGATGTACGTTACAAAAAACAAGTTGTTAAGGTATTGTTTGCATAAAACAATACTGTAATAATGTAGTACTTTTTTCATATAATTAATTAATATAACGTAAAATATGAAAAAGTTAACAACACCAGTTATATGTCGTGAAATCTGCAGAAGGACGTTAGGGGAGAAATTTTTTTGTATATAAGACTTTGAAATAAGAAATGTTCGACGGACTAAGGATTTATTTTACATTCACAAGCAATCAGGTTCATTTGAAAGATCAGCTCTTAGAATCAGCCGTCAGATCATCCCACAGCGTTAAGATGGCACGATGTCCGCCCCTAATTCAGCATTTCCCTACAAATCTTGTGTTTCTGTTTGTCGCGAGAAATGAAGGTTCTAATTAAGCAAAGGTTAGATCTCGCTTAAGATCACTATTTCAAAATAATGTTGACAAGAGAATATTTCCACTCACATCAAGCTAACATAGTCCGAACATAATGGCCATTCAGGAGGTTTTGATACATCAGTATTCCCAGGTTAAGTCAGTACAACTTACTATGAAAAGTTTCTACTCATGTTTCAGAGAACGGGCTGTTATCCATTATATAAACAGATGTTGACGTCCTACAATAAATACCTTTATACTGTTGCACTTATGAGTGATCATAGACAGTACTTACTGTCATTTTAATTCGTTTGAAATCGAGAATGCGCAATTGCGGGATCTTGTGCACAATGTAGAGACGGTAATGCTTCTTTAACGCCACAGGATTTTTAAGGACGCTTAGATACCTGAGAGACTTGACTGTTGCCAATGAATCAAGATCTCCTAAGTTCTGAATTTGGTTATTCGTCATAATTAACGACTCAAGCGAAGGAAGCTGTTCTTCGAGGTTTTCCGTAATTCGACTGGAACACAAACAGAGACACCAATTAAGAAGCTTCGGCTTTAGTTCTTCGATAATTATTTTCAGTAGGCCGTCTTTGATGTAGTCGAGTAATCCTGGAGACTTGCAAGATCACGGTTCCGCTGTTAAAGTTAAATATCTATGACGTAACGAACACTTCTGATTACTACATAGAGGTTTAGGGTTCATACTCGAAAAAAAACCTTGAAACGGAACGAATTATATTAATTAAAAATAGGGCTTCTTAGTCTCACCATATTCTGTTGTTATTAAATAAAAGGCTCTTGATCCGTTTGAGAAACGGAAACCCTTCCAACTTGCGAATGTCGTTGTCAGAAAAGTCAATTGTGTCGAACTGATCCAACGTTGCTCCCAGATTCTCAATTTCGGGTAGACGGTAGCCTGAAACACGAAAATTCGACTTGTTCATAGTGATTGAAACATTTTACCAACAGGATGGCTCTGCGGTTTCCGAAATCGCTCCCACCGTAATGGAAAAAAACGTTAACAATTTCCACATCAAATGCAAAAATTACTCTTTACAACGACCATCTGTTCAAATTTACATTAGGTAATAGGTTGAACCCCTTGATAGAACTTCAGGATCAGTTATGCACTTCGAGCATAGGCTGGAAAAACCGAACATGCTTAAAATATACATATTCGAAAAAAAAAAATTAATTATCCCATTCATAGCTTTACGAACACGATATACACGAGTCGGACTCGTACCAGTCGACGACGCCTATTTAGTTAAAAATCTCCTGCTAAGTACAAACACTCTTAAAACTTTAAAATGTAAGGAAAACAAACTCGATAATGTTAGATGGTATATTTATTCGCTGTTATGTTAATCGATGGACTCATCCATGCCATGTAATATATGAAAGTGCGGTGCTGCCTAAAAGTAACCGTAAAGTAAATTTCGATCATTTGCGCTAATGATCGGAGATACTAATTACACCGCATTTATTGTTTCTGTTGATCTCAAGCAAACGCTTTCTCTCCTAAAAATGAATATACCAACCTCTCAAATCCAGCTCCCGCTCTTTTACTGGATTAATGTATTGAGCAGCTCCTTGAACAATGTCCACCGTTAACCGTACCATTTTTTAGCAGCAATTCGTTTTACAACAATAAGTTGTCAAGTATTCAATCAACGCACCACCGGCATGCACACTGAGAGAAATCGAAATGGCTGCATATAAACAATAACATTCTCATCAACACCAGACGGCGCTCTACCGTGGCTGCCGCGAAAATTTCGCTTAGCCTCAATAACAGTGTCCTTGTGTTTGCGTATGAATCGATCATGCGTCGCTAAATCAGCGGAGCCACACAGTTGGCACGGGTAGGGATACGTACCAGGTCGCCATCCTAACCTGAAGTTATCCGCTCCCTTTACGCCGCAGTGCATAGGCAATCCCGCAACGACAGAGAGCCAGTTGTCCTCGCATGTGGTACCTCGTAGCAGCAGTCATCTGTCCTCAAATAATACCTAAATTCCGCTGCGGGGGGGCCATTACTTTTCGAAATGTTTCGTACCACCCGCGCATGATACGATTTGGAGCGCATCCATTTCGAACATCACAGTAGAGAGGGACCATTGTATCAGTGATGCGTTAGAAACTTGCGTCTGTGGTTGTGGCAGTAAGGCTAGTGTAGAGGTATGTTGTCGTATTTAGTTGGACTGGCAGCTGTAAAGAGCTGGTATAGAGCTATTGGAACCTCCTGCCTGGAAGTATAGAGGATTCGGTCGTGTGTTAACAATGCTATAGGCAGCTGTGGTAGCTAGACATACTTGATTCGGGACTTGTGCGATAACCGCCACTGTTACTCGCTTAGCTGCTCCCGCCTGTTGACCCGTTGTTTTTTAAGGAAGGATCGTTTTCTTCATAGCGAAGAGAGGACCTGGACAACAAAGCACTCGTTGAGCAGATCAATCTGTCATTAAAGCTTCCTGTGTAGCTTAAAGATTCTTGCAAAAAAACTTTCATGTGTTTAGATGTTATTTTACTGTAGTGTGTGCACTGATGTAGTCGTCAGGTTACGTCGCTAGCGCCAAGTTGCCCATGAGTCTTCTGTTGTCATCAGGCAGTTTGCCAGAGCTAGACAGCGTCAGTCGGTGCAATAGCAGGGCGACGTTTTCCGATGGGCGGTCGGATGACAAGGTCGGCCGAATAAAGAGTGGCAGGCACATCCGGGAAACGACTTGATGGAGTAACCACGAGAGATTGCTGGCGACATATCGCTGTTTTGAATTTGCAACGACATCGGTGGTAATAATATGAATAATAATAATAACAATAATAATAATGACGAAGCGATGAGGCAAAAAACTGTTAATAGATTTGAGTACCAGAGACCATATCGCACTTTCTTTTAGAGTCCCATTTAATTTGATTGTTGTTACGGGAATTACGTAAAAGGCGTAATACATATGACTGCCATCATTACACTACTCCTTTCCACCACGGTGATCACCATTTTTAGCTAGAGAGCGGTTAGTTCGTATTACTGCTGAGTAGAGTAGTGTTAAAATGCTGGTTCGTGAGACAATTCGGTTTGGGCTTGTGTACGTCAGCTGATTTCATCAATCGTGGTAAATTTGCGGATGCTTTCATGGAGACTGCCTATAGAATCAGTACTGTCCGAGCGTGCAAATGCAAGAGCTACCTAAGTGTGGCGTGTAAGCATTTCCTTCTCCAATATTTACTTCCAAGCATTTGTGTTCATATTAAAGGCATACAACGTATACATGTGGCTGAAACACTGCTTCGGAACAGAAACTGACCTAAACTCAAAACGTTTATTGGCTACATATCTTTGCGTCTTCCTTAACGACAAGCATTATTGTTCTCTTACGGTTCGCAGTGTTGGCAGATATTTGACATACAGAGGAATTATATGCTAATAAAAATCTACTGCCACACTTTTAAACGAACGTTAATCGCACAGAGAAAGCGCGGGCGTGGAATACTGTACGGTCACAGTAGCGCATACAACGACTACAGATTAATATTACAAGTATTAATATTGAGACCGACAAGAAGATCTATGAGATTATAAATAGCATAGATGTAGAACATTTGACCGTGTTCACCCATAAGCACCGGGAGGCGTTAACGTAATTCATCCATTTCGCACTAATAATCCGCATCGAATACATATAGTGGGTTGCCTAACACTATCCAGTTACTTGCTCGAACGTAACTTACGAAATAAATGCAGTTGCTCGACTTGAAGCCGAGTTCTGAGCTAGAACTCGTTTAGTCGTTTGATTATCAGTTTCCTCATCTCAGTTATCTTGGTACACTGTTTGCTTGAGCTAGTACATCGTTCGAGTCACTCCGTCACGTTACTGTAATATTTCATTACTCTGTTTTAGTATATTTATAACAGGGCTTCGGTAATTCATCACCTTACTTCCATTGTTCAATCTACCGGGCTCAGATCTATTATTATTATTATTATGTTCCAAGTGCTGTGACACCTCCGAGCCGATTATACCGTGTAATTTCATTGCAACAAAGTCGTCGCCGTCCTACCATTGACACATTACGCTCTTGTAATTATCTCACTGTCGCAAATACCAGGTAAATATTAAAGCGTTAAAGAAATCAACGAATTAGGCAACATTCTTTAGAAATTCGCAAACGTTTTCCCAAAGATATACCAGAAACTACGAGGATTATTGATTTCCATATAAATTCCATATAAAAATAAGATTCTGTTTTGGGGTTTTTTATGTAGAACTGAAAAAAACTAAGTAAATTACTGGACATACAACAGACTACTGCTCGGATTATTTTTGGTATTGTAATAATATTCATTCGCGGTCGCCCTCGGCCAAAAAGCACCGATTTTACTGTCACAATAGTAATGTTAATGTACGTTACGTTAAAGTACGTAAAATGTAGTTAATGTACGAATCGATAAAGGTGTGTATCGTTGCGTACATTAGCAGATGTTCAGTGTATATATATATCTACGTTGGTATGTAATAAGCATTATTTTTTGATCCGGATTATTCTAAACGACCATCAGCATCTTTTTTTGCTAATATGTCTAAAAATATTATTGTAAGGGTGCCGGTCTCAGTAGAAATGTCAGCACTACCATGAGCTCTTATAACCTTTTGCCTTCATGTTTTGTTTATGTTATGCCCGTCTCATTAGTGCGTTGTGTTCCAGCGGTGCTTCACGGCGAAATTAGGACAGTGCTGCCCATTGAAGGCTGACAAGTAAATTTGACGGACGTGCGACGCTACAAATAAAAAAATACAGAGTTCGCAAAACGTGATCACCAACGCAGGAGCAAAAGTGCCTTAATTTTCCCCTGTCCACTTCCAAACAGTGCCTGTACTCCATCATAGCGCTTCCCTGCCATTAAAAGGTGTTTAGGGATCTACAAACAACGAGAGGAACTCATATCTGTCCATCGCTTTGTGTCCACCAGTGAAACAAACATAAGAACTTTCTGCGAATCAACTTATTTCCGTGAAGGGGGAAACGTGACTAAACAGGTGTGGCTGCCGGGATGAACGGCGAGCCCCGGCGGGGTCGGAGGGCCCGGGGCCACCATGGACGCGATAGGGATCAACGCGGCGATAATAGATCGGAACGATCAGATCGAGAAGGTCGAGGTGATCGAGCCAATGAAAATGATATCGGTTCTCTTGGATCGAATAACCATATTGGAACAAAAGGCGTCGTCATTCTTGCGAAAAAAGATTCGCAGCGAGTAAGCACACTATTTCATAGTTGTCTAGTGAACGTGCTTTTGGTAGGATTTGTCTATTCATACATGGACAAGTCTGCATTAGACACACGACGTTTTTCATTTCAGAGAACTACTGTAGGCATTACCCTTTAGTGTATAATAATATCGTATTACTAGTAGATATGCTATTACTATAAGCTAGAACCTTATGATGTAAATTAAATAAAAAGTCATCGAACCGGCTACTAGTTTTTAAATGCAATAAAATGTTAAAACTGCTTTGAGCCCAAATCCTACCATGAGGTAGATAATCATCTTCGGTGCCATAACTATTTTTACTGGAGCGTTCTTTCAACCAATTTTCAGGACAAACCCAAGGATGAACCACAAGTTGTCCGCGTCGAGAAACGAGAAGAACGGAAAACCGACGATGCAGTCGCAGCATCCCCTCTTCTTCTCAGGAGCAATCGAGTCGCGCCTGCTTCTGCACAATCGCAGACGCCTCACAAGCCCCAGCTTAACGTAGCGAGCCTTCAAGCCAAGTATGTTTGACCCCACCAATAATAGTTTAATTTTAAGCCTGGCTATAAATTTGTTACGGCGACGAATCCACGTGTTTTTTTTTTATTAATTGTATTAGAATTTATTCAGAGCTTGATTTAGGCAAAACGTAAATTTTTCTTGTTGGATTACATCTTCACTGACGATAAATATATGGGAAGCGTTAAAACACTGCACTTCGATTCGTAGCCTTTCCGGAACATCTACTTCACTCAAAAACATAGAATCACGTTGCAAACAGGCATTTCTATTACGTTATGGCTTTTCTGGGGCGCCTGTTTTTCAAACTAATTCAAAGTTATTATTTCATCATTCTGTAAAGACAAGGAGGGGATTAGCTCCAGAACACTAAACACTGTTCATTAATCTGCACATGAAATACAAGCGCGCGCAAATTCAAACGTATGCTACTTTGCTTAACACGTTCTTCTTGTTTAGGTCAAGTCTGGCGGCAAAAGCTGTTAGTGAAGCGGTTCGCAGCGGCGGTATTGTCGGCAATGGTCGGGGTGAAATGATGCAGCGCGCCAAATTCCTGAACAAGCATGGTGAACTGGAGGAAGACCTCCTGCAGTATCTCACTGACGATGCCTACTTTAAAGTCGTCGGGGTAATTGGTACGCTTAAGTTTTGAAGATTATAGTTTTTAACTCACCAGGTATAAAAGATGATAAAACAACAAAACACAGCACACAAATAATGAAGAGTGTAGTGTAGAACGTGATCACCCAATAAATATGCACCAAGCACAGATAAATCCAAAATTAGTTTATCGGATGAAATCAATTTGATAGCTGCTCTTCATGTAACAACTATTACAGGACCTCAAGGAACCGGCAAGTCGCATGTGTTAAACGTGTTAGCCGGTCGAGCAGCATTTCCGGTGGAGCGTACGGATGATACTGCCTCGTGCCGCCCACGCACAGTCGGAATTGACGCATTCGTCACCCCCGACCGCACCGTGCTCCTTGATGTTCAGCCTGTGCTGTCATTGTCTGCTATGGATGCGCTTATCCAAAGCGAAAAGAGAACCCCATCGGGTGCAATAGATTATCATCAGTCGCTGGAAAGCCAGGTATAAATGTTATCCCGCGTTTTCAGCTAATCTATAGTTTTTTTAATAATTTGCGTGAATAGATGACACCGTCACGTACAAATTTCAAGTATTACTTTTTATGATCTAATGTTACAGGTGATGGTTGAGTCGCTGCAAACGGCATGCTTTCTTCTATCTGTCTGTCATATTGTAATCGTGTGCTTCGACTGGTTTCTTGATCGGGACCTCGCCCAGTTCCTTCAGTCTGCCGAAATGCTCAAGCCAGCTACACCGCGAAGTCCTGCCACAAATATGCTCGACGACGATATCTCAGGTTAGAGTCAGACGTTCTCAGAACCTCACTCTATTGCTTATCAAATTTTAATCAACCTAAAAGGAGTATAAACCTACATTTTTTTTAAATCAGGTAATTTCTGTAAAGGTGATGGCTTTAAGATATTAAAGTTACAAGTAGAAAACAACCGTACTCCTTACAGGTACGTTCTACTTTTACTTGATTGTTTTTTATGGTACAAGAGAATTAGATGTGAGCTTTATCATCGGCCTCAAGAACAATAACAAGAAAAAGGCAAATTTAACTCCACTACGATTTTTTGAACGTATGTTATTACAGATTACTTTCCTCATGTGGTGTTTGTTAAAAACAAATGCGATTTTGTGAGTTACAAGGAGAACAAAACAATGGCTGCTCAGCTTGCACGTGTATTCAAGGTAAGATGTAGTGCAGGACTTCATTTACGCCATATTCACTCAAATATTAAGCTGTCCTTTCCAGGTACAGTAACTCTAATGTTTTCATGATAAAATTTTTTTTAAAATCGATTATATGATATCCGGCACCTCTCAAGGCTCAAGTGAACATTTGGCCCGTATAAATCATATCACCTGAAAGTGAACGCTAAATGTTGCTAAGTCTTGCAATTTTTGCTTGGCTTTAAGCGTGCTAAGCAGGGTAAAACAGTTTCTTGTTTTAATAATCCCTTATCAGCGTGTTTCTCTATTCACTGTAGGCAATGGGACTGTACCCAATGGCGTCTATATTATGACGCCATGCAATGAAACTGTAAAAGGTTTGATTGAGTTCTACATTTGCAATCTATTTTAGGATTCGATGCTGATGATGCGAGATGGCGTTACGAACTCGTTCGGGCGAGCAGTATCTGACGAGGCAGTGAACATATTCCAGATGCCATTAAAGAGCGATCCTATGTACGAGACCTGTGCCAGAGAACTTTTGTCGAAGGTATGTAGTCCTTAAGACAACTGCCTGATCTATGACAGGCACGTTTACTATTTGATATCCCTTGGAAATGCGTCTTACTTCACCTGCATCATTTTCCTGAAACTACCGTTTATACCATTATTTCTATCTGCATACACGATTTCAGGTACTAAGCATGCCATATGACGACTTCATTGAGCTGAAGGCCGGCATCTTTAGCGAACGCCACTGGTTTCAGTATGCAACGAAGATCTGGGAAGGCATACGCAAATCGGGCATGTTCCAGGAGTATAAGCGACTCCTCGTGTGAGCCAGCATCGGCGCCCTGAGGAACGGCTCTTGGAGCCCGGATTTGAGTCTAAACCTAAAACACAGCGAGATGCTTTAACGAGAAAAAAGAAAGCCAACGACACGAACAAGAAGACGCAAGCAGTAACAACAAGATGATGACAGACAAAAACACCAGAGGCGAGAGGAACAGACGACGAGCAGAGGATCGAGAGCAAGAGGCACTGTGTGTACGAAGGAAAGGACTACCTATGATCAACCAGCCTGTCACCAGAACGGTTATCATCTCGCCAGTCGGTTGGTGACAATGAAATGCTAACGGTATTCATGATGCTCAAATGCAATCGAACTCCTGCAAATAAATGCGACAACAAGCAATCAATGCAGGAACAAATGCAAGCTGCAGCGGCTGTAAAAACAGCAGCTGCAGCAGCAGCAGCAGCAGAAAAGGAAACAAATAAAGAAACGCAACAACTTCAATCAACATTAAAGCAACGCAGAACAGAGGAGATGCGATACGACTCTCCGGGAGTAACTGAAAAATTTGCTTTGATTGGAACAACAAAGACGATGATGATGATCATAGGGGAAATGGAAAAGACCGAAATTATATAAAAGCGAGCGGTGGGCTTTGAGAGAGAACGACAAGTAGCTTAAAAGCAACGATTAATGATTTACCGCAAATCGCTATAATATGTAAATTAATAATAGTATTGAATTATTACTAGTTCATTCACTAGATTTATGGAGAATTCGAAAGTGGTGAGCAAGTACGGTGTGCATTTTGCATTTTGTAAATGCGAAACCAACTAAATGCAGACGCGAGAAATCATCATCCTTCTCTCTCAAAATTCCTTCACAGAATGGTGAAGAACAAAAAGACATGGAGGCAAGGTCTTAAAAATGGAACGAGGAGAGTCGTACCATCCTTTTGTGGGTCGCCGCTACGGATGTCGGGCGGTGGCGCTTGGAACGGCGCAGAGGAAGCGATCAGGAGAATGGCAAGCGAACAAAAAAGGATAAGTGCACCTGAATCAATGCGTTACGTTTTTCAGCATTGTCAATCATTGTTTGGGTTAGAGCGACAACATTTCGATATTGAGCTCTACCACTAAATAAGAAAAGATAGTTCCTGGAACTATTGACCTAGACGGCGCACCTTTACTAAAGCAGTTCTCGTGTGCTTAATAAGCCATCTCTTTAGGCCACTTCCTTTGACAGTAGACGTCAATCGTCAACGTAAACGACAATAAACCACGTCAAACATAACAAGACTACATCTCTACGAAAGCCAGTTCAGTGCCATCCTCTTCATCCAGAGTAATGTTCAATGTGTAGCCACGTGTGTTGTACCCATAGAGTATGCTGGTCCCTCTGTACTGCGTAAAGCCAATAATGTGCTGCCAAAGGGAGCAAAATTGTTGTACGAAAAAGACGCAACGTATTACCGCTAGCGCAGTACAATCACACGTAACGAATGCAGTCTGGCAATTGCTCAACAATTGCGCACAACAATTGATTATATCAATATTTAGACACACACTCTCATTCACATAGACAACAAGCAATATGCAACCCTACCTCCGTCCATACAGTGTCCTCCCCCGCAACTCTCAGCATTCAGGGGGCTGTTGAAACTGGCGGCCAAAAGCTATTCGAAGGTCACTGACAGCGTCGAGTGTACACGCTCAGTGGCTGAGCTGTTGAACAAAGGTTCAACTCCGTGCCGTCACACCAGCTCCCGGCTTATAAAGAACCAACAAACCAAGTTAATATATCGAAACAACAGCGCTAAAAGGCGAGATAACACCCACGAACAGCATCAACAAGCTAATAAGCAATACCAATAAAAGCCCGTCGTTTCAAAATCGAGTCAACATTTACAGCGACAATGGTAACGGGAACAAACCAGCTATGGGAACCTACCATCAAATCAAAATACCATCGGCAACTGCAAACGAACCAGTGTACATCAGTAGTCTAGTAGCAAACAGACGGGAACAAATGGCAAAGAAAGCGAGCAGTCGATTATGCCTAGGCGACTAATTACTAAAGAGCTTTAATCAAATCTGCTCGCAACGGCACGGAATGTTAATAGCACCGTATGTATGTAAACACGCATCGAGTGCCAGTATTGAAATTGGCGTTCTCCAAGGCCTGAAAGCCAGAAAGCACGCAAGCAAAAGTCTATTGTTAGCTGTATAACCCAACGATGTTAAGAAAGTCCGACCATAAAACTAGCCGCGCCGTACCTTGCGCCGTGTGTCGATTGTATCGATGGTTCAATATGCTATTCAGCCTCGAAAGAAGTGGAGACAGAACATCGTATGGTCGTAATATGGTCCCTTAGATAGATCTATATGTAACATGCGCATTGTGGTTTAACATATCGATAAGTAGGTAGTAGAAGAGAAATTGAAATTACATTGAACCCAACCTTGTAATCCATGGACTTTATAAACCTGCTGGTAAAATCTGTAATGGCCCATGTTCTGAGCTAATATCAGTTTGGTGTAATTAATTAGTAGGATGTTTTTTACCGCTTACCTTGGAAAAAATAGGTTTCAATTTGCAGTATATAAAGTGATTGAAAATTTGATGAAATCGGTGTAACAAGGGGAACAGTAAATGATGAAACTAGAAAAAAATTCAAGATAAGGATTCTGTGAAATGCTCAATCTTTGGTCCGAGATCTTTCCTGTTTGTGCTCGACAACGTATTCGTTGTTCTGTGTGCAAATTAAAGAAGTTTAATCACTCAAAACAATTTTACAAAACTTTCTTACAAGATGCCGGGTTTATAATTTCCTACTAGCCTAGACAGCGGTTTACTGTACTTTTGGACCTACTAACGACCTATCGAGGGTATTCGATGCGTTTACATTTGCTGATGGTGTTGCGAAAATGCGCAAGAGTAGATTATTGGCTCCTAGAGTGAAACGACATATTAAAGCCTCTACTCGAACAGACAAGTAAGAATTCAGAGGTCAAGAAAATAATCATGAACGAAATTTATTATACGGGAAATATCCTAACGGAAAGGCTTAAAAGACTTTAAATGTACTCCCACAAGCAGGCATTAACTAGGGTTGGCGAAAAAGGAGTCTTAGAACAATAGGAACAAAATGATGTAATTTATTTCTTTCTGCTTTTTTTTAATTGTCTTTAATTCACCTGTGGAGGGGCAATGTGGTCCTCACCAGGCGACCCAGGCCCAAAATAATCGCTCGGAACTAACAATCTGTGTTTACTTTTTCTTCGGCGCGAGCTCTAGGCCTCGCACATAGTTCCGTGGAATCTTGTACGTTTCTGAAAGATCAGGTAAAATGTGGACAAAAGCAAATCGACAAGGAATTATTCAGCCGGATTATTTCGAAACAACAGAAATTTCGGTGTATAGGGAAGTAACATAAAAATTATGATTTGTCTGTTGCACAAAAACACGTAGGGATGATATAATTTCGCAATGGCGGATGATAACTGATAGGCTCACTGCAGTGAAGTTTAGGATGCAAAATAGAGAGCCAGTTAAGATAGGTGATAATGTCCTTATGCGAAATATGAAAAAAATGTTGAGTCGGTTAATATAAGTAAACAAAACGCCTTGATTAGAATATATACCAACTAGCGCGAGAAGAGAACATTAATAAACATAGCAATTATTAAGACCTTATTATGTGTTTGAATAATAACCATATGATTTTAATCTCCTCAACCCGCTTTTTAAATGAGTTTCATAACATAGCATCGGTGTAAGATCCGAATTTGATGATTAAAATAGTATTTATGTAAGATCAATAAACTACCTCCATAGACACAACCTTTACGGTCTAGTTATTGGTACCAAGAGATGTTAGAGGATTTTTTATGATAGCCAGTAATACCCATCAAAGAAGTACAATATCAAATTAGTGGAACGATTTACATTGTTACTCTAAATCACTTTTTGATAGCGGCGAGAGTGCGTTGGCTCCTAAGAGATGTTAGAAGATGTTTTTAAGCTCGTTGCGTATGTATAACGCAATATGCGCAAATTATTGCGCCCAATCACGTTATCGCAATACAAAATAGAGCGCACATTTTAAGTCGATGCTTTGTTAATGCCACGACAAAATATAGAATGTTAGAGATTTATTTAGGATAATAAACGAAGGCAATATAATCTATGACTTTTCAACTTTTTGTGTTATCGTTTTTAAAAAAGCGTGATCTTTAATCCCCTAAACCATTATTGAAAGCTGTTTAATAAGAAGAGCTATTGCGATGTTATCAAGGAACGATCAGTTTCTTACCTAATAACAGTTTGCCAACAAAAAGAACTTGGTTTCCTTGGATCAGCACCTGTTGCCATCCTTTGTTATTTGCCCTAATTGGAGAAACGGTTGTTGAGGCAGATACCCCGATCTGTACTTGGTGGGCGAAGTGCGCGGGATCGATACCGAATGTCTCAAACCCGTGAATTAAGGTCACCTGTTTAATTAGAAATAAGAATATATTACAATGCCCTTTTGGAAAAAATCACGAATGTGTTGCCTTTATTAAGTATCAGAACTTGGGGTTGATGTATTTTAGCTTAACTTCGTCCTAAGCGAACCTTGCTCTTTAAGAACTCGCGAAGCTTAAACCCATCTCGATAAAAGCTGGGATGCTAGTAAGGCAGCTGTCATCAATCAGTAGTAAATAAGTTATCAGCAAAATATCTTTAGCAAAATTTTTCCAACAGGAGATATGATGAGAAGAATAGTAAATAACGGGTAAACGTTTAGACGTTACGTAACCATAAACGCGCACAACAGACGGCTTCTATGTTCATGTTTAAAAAGATTTCAGGACAAAAAGCTATGATGCACTCCAAGCTACAAACGCCAAGCGAAAATGAAAAAAATCGAATGTTGTTTTCTTAAACAACAAAACCTTAATCTACAAGCATGATCAGAACGATTTTTTAGATCTGCTGCTACAATGGGCTATTTATTTGAATACCTTTTTGTTGCCACACCTCGTGGCAACAGAGATAGTGATGGGCTCAATCGCTCCTTTCTTTATAATCGGCTCCCTGTTGGGCACGCGGATCTCGTACGCTGACTGACACTTTGAAAGAATCCTACATTTTTATGATAGACAGTAATACCCGACAAAGAAGTACAATATCAAATTAGTGGAACGATTTACATTGTTACTGTAAATCACTTTTTGATAGCGGCGAGAGTGCGTTGGCTCCTAAAATGCCCGGTAACCCCCTAGCATTGACCACACGTTTTTAAAATTCTTTCACTAGCATAGCTTGAAAAGAAAACATGTTCTGTAAATTCGGAAGCGAGTCTGTTCAAAGAAAAACTTTTCTTTAAGTACAGTTATTGAAACAGTAAAAGTTCAGGCTGAGGATATATTTATGAATATATACATATAGTTAAATTGCCAGTCAAAGTCCTACAGATTTAATAACCACACTATGAAAACTACCTTTTTGAAATTTAACAACACATTGCTCCCATCTCGTAACAACAAAATAGATTACAAAGGCTTTGCCTGATGTTCCGCGGCAATGTTTAAGGCGTAAACATTTTTTTGGCCAAAAAAACTATTTCTATTTGTACAGTTAATTATATATATGCTTTCGAAGGATAGCTGTACCTTCTATTGAGAGTCTCCCAGGTAACCTGTGTGTCATACTCATTCTTGGCAAGTACGACTCGGGCGAGTATTGGTTCCAGTTGGACAATCCTGAAGAGGGTCAGTAAGAGCAATAAATGATAGAACAGTAGAACAGAGAATCAGTAGCCAAGAGATAACAGTATACTTAGCCTTGTTCGTATGTTTTTGAATATCCGTCTAGAAACATAGGATACCCAACAAACAATGTGTCAATTAATTACACAAACTTAAAGAACACGCATGGCATTTATTGTTGCTTCATGACATTTACGCGTCTACAGCAATGAAAACTGCGAAAAACGTTCTGTTGACTAAAATAATAAGGAAAAGAAAACTAAGTTTTAAGGGTTAAAAAAGAAAACCGAGGGTTTGCGAACGTGCTACGTTGTGCTAGTTACCGTTTGTCCGCTGTTTGTAAATTATTTTCCTGGACGTACTGCTTGATTTGGAGTCGGATATCTTCCAGTGTAATTATAGAACCTTTCCTACAATGACAATATACATTGATTATTAATACTTCATTTGGATCGGTTTCTTTAATTATTATAGCTCTTGTAATTATAACGCTCATTCTAGTCGCAGTTCCATCGCCAATTAAATTTACTGCTGATGCGCACTCGAATCCAGTCGTGTGTTGTAAAAAAAATACCAGACAAATTTTATTTTTGTTTGTATAACATATAATGTGATTGTTTACGTCATTCTGGGACGAATATGATTCGCGCCGATTACAGCCGTTAGTCTAAAGTCCTTAATTGCGGCTATCGGTTTTCCGCCGGAACTGTGAAGTAACGGTCAGATGAGCTGACGTCTGTGAGTATGTATAAAAAGGACGAACTATAGTTCGACTCGTTTAAGTTAATGAGCTCAATCATATGAAAACATTAATGTAGTGCTAATAATCTAGTGAAGAGTCGGGTTACTGGCACGACACAGAAAAGAGGAAAATATTCCTCCTAACCCTTCAGTAATGAAGAAGAAAAACACAAAAATCATCAAATAGAGATATAACAATGTAAAAAAGCGCACATTACTATGGTTTGATGGCTCCAACCTTTATTGATTTAAAATATTTTTCTTTGCAAATTTTGTTTTTAATAGCAGCAGCTAAAACCAATGTATAGTGCTTTTTGCCTCTTTGGTATGCAGTAAGAAGTTCACTAAGTGCAGTTTTCGCAGTCGCTTTCATAAACGAAGAGCATTAATTTGCTAACAGTTGCTTTGCAATGCCATTTGCCTTCTTCGACATGCCAAAACGTTAAAATAAATGTAAACGAGTCTGTCGTCCAAGTCACAAATAGTAGATAGATAAGGTGATTTGATCTTAATCAATATTTCTATGGAAAGCCATTTGCAGTCTGCACGGATTTGTCAAAGCGACAGGGTTATTTGTATTTGTCTTCGCTTGTGGTTCTATAAATAGCCTAGACAGCTCGGCCATATGCTTTTTCGTGGGGATTCATCGCAACTACATCTTCAAATTGAATAAAGCCGTTTTTGTTCATTATTGTATTGCATGGTGAAACTCCAGTTAAGTAACTTAAGTGGAGTCAATGCAGAATATACATTTGTAAGTAAACTGTTTCCAAGGGATTCGAACAGAAGAATGTCAGAAAAGCGGATGAAAAGCACAGAGGGATGCCAGCATTAGAGGCATTAAAGGCAAGGCTTGTATTACAAATGGAGACCTTTGTCCTACACAATCGCTCAACGGTTGCGGAAGAATGAGTTGCTCAATTAATTGCTGTTGCGGTCCTTATCTGAATAGCCTGAATAAGGTCGAATAGTCCGGAAAGGGACTGGTGCAGGAAAAGGAAAAGGTGCAGGAAACCCATAATGATATACGAATATGTCGGATATCCTTCCGATAAATGGAAATGACTTGGTTAATAAATCTTGCGGGATCTTAATGATTATCATTGATATTCTGGATGGTAATGTGTTGATCTGCTCCTTTTAATCTTTTCCTGGAGCCGTGATGTTACTATTTTCCTGATGAACGGGAGCGTACGTTATTCGGTGATATGGAGAAAAAATCTTTTGGGATCCCACAAATATCAGCGGTTGTTCTGTACCCGTTCCGTTTGGCCTATTATGGGGCTTCTTAAAAGTGCCCCTTATTTTTCTGAGGCGGTATAGACGAAATCGCTGCCGATTGGTAGAAATGTTGGTGTTTATAAGAACTTAAACCTACTTCATATTGATCGTGGTGACCAAGTACCTTATTAAATTCATAACTACTTTTTGCTCTTGTCAGAGAAGCTGATGTTGATCCCGGAAAAAATAACTGCTATAGTTGCCATATGACTGCGGCTCTTTATAAGCATTTCCTTGATATGTGTATGGGTCATATACATAACGACGATATTCGTAATTCTGAACCCGGCAGTAATTATTTAGATAATGTCCCGTAATCAGTGGACTCGTAGGTGTTATTGTCTTTCTGGCATCATGGCTCATTGCATTCGTCGGCACAGCAGTACCGACCCCAGGGCAATAGTATTTTTTTACAGCCAGCTGCATCGATTAAACATTCAACTGCGGATGGTGTCCGGCTAACGCGGTTTTTGCGTGTGCACGAGCACTGAGGATAGCGCCTATTCAGCGGAACATGGATAGGGTTTAAAATAGGTCTAGATAGGACAGCTATTCCGTTATACATCTCGATGCACATTTGTTCGTTTGGGTTTGTAGCTCACTGGAATTCATAACAAATCATAACTACTGCTAGTAGTCATATAGGCTTGATATACTGAGACAGATTTCATGACACCAAGATGGTGGCAGATAGCACGATGCTCATCTCAGCAAAGTTCCTCCGTGTCACATGCTGAAGGTTTACAACGGAGGCAACCCATGCCGAGAAGTTCGCTCTAACATAATATGCAGTAAATATACATAAAGCAATTGTTGTAAATTAAAAATAACCTACACCGCAAGACACGCGTTATGAAGCTGGGACGTACTTAGCGACGTAGCCCAAACTCGAACCATCGCTAACTTCGCTTATCGAAAAAACGGTTAGTGCAACAATAGTCGAGAAGTGTGTAATCTCAAAAGGCGATTGCTTCTTCCCCATGTCGATTCACCTGAGTAGAAAGTCCCGAGTTAGACCTCGCATTTCATTGATACGATTGAATTAACTGCCATATTGGATAACATAGCTAAAACACGCTTTTGACTCATATTACATAAACGTTTCTCTATTAATTAGACAACGTTATATTTACATAGAAAACCAGACAAACTTAACTCACCTAATATTTCAGGTTCCTCCAGTAGATAAATTACCCACACATTTGATACAAATTTTCAAAGTACAAAGACATAGTAACTTAAAAAATAATTGTTGCTGAATTGCCTTTCCTGAGACAACCAATACTCAACCATTTGCTTAACCGTAAAATTCATAAAATTCACTATTTGATTAAATCACATATCTGATGTGGCTATTTGGCAGATAGGTAATCGGTACGTCGCTGTTATCGGTTGATTAAAATTTTTGCCCATTTTGTAGCAAAAATGTTCAAGTCATAATATGTAAGCTGTTTTTATGTAAGTAAACTAATCAAATATAAAAAAAAAAGCCGATAACTGTGAGCGATAACGGTCATACCATAAGACCGAGTCTCAATCATAAATCCAATGTGCCAATAGGGTAGTGCAATGGATTTCGATTTAGCATGAATCCGGCAAAAATCAACCCGCGTCTAGTCATCGATCAAGCGATTAAAATCAACGCAAAATCAGCCACTTTTTTCGCAGAGTTGCTTAACCAGGTTGCCAGCCAGAGCCTCTTTTGTTATATTGCACGGTTAGCTAGAAGAACATAGGAGCTAATATTGATAAATGGCAGTAATCTGTAGGCGAAGAGGCACGAGAGAATTATGCATGGAGAATTATGTATTTGTGATCACAGCTTCCGAGCATCACTGGCTTACCCCAATAGAGCTGAATAAGCACTTCACAGTTTTTTTTTTGTTAGTAACAAAAAGTCCCTGACTCGAGGGGCGATAATAGAAGATATATAGAAATTATCAACATATATACATCTGCAAATTATGAGTAGAATGCTGCGTTTAAATTAAGAACCCTTTACGCCTTCTTTCCATAAACAAAAACGGATATGTCAACGGAAATTAAATATAATTACTATTCAATTTTACAATTTACATTTAGGCAATTGCAGCTTCAAATCGGGACCTAACCTATTCATTAAGCATTTTAAAAATATTCTTTCTTTATTCCATCAAATTACTTTTCACTAGCAGTTATACGTCTATTTCTACAATATCTACGCGATATTGCTAGGTGTAAACTCGCTAAAATTTCGCTCTGGTACGCCATACACAACGAATTCTAGCGAAATTTTGGACTGACAGAGGGCCCAAAGTACATACGATTGTCCGGATCAAATAAGCTCAAAACAGCTAGAAAGTTCAAAATGGACAAACAAGAAACAAGAGAATTCTTAAACTAATTATTGGAGGTCATCTGCACAACCTACTTGGCAATTGATTGTCTACTATCTAAAATGACTGTTAATTTATATATCAAAAACGTAGGTGTGTACAAGTCTTTTTCAGATTTCTCAGAAGCCGAATAAAACAGAAATTAATGTAATCCGTTGATGTTAGAAAAAAGAATGAAGTTTTTTGATCATTCTGCTGACCGTAAAGCTATTATCGAATCTTTTTTCACTTGGGTTTGCCCAGCGCAGGATGATTCGATAATAAGCAATTTTGGCTCAAATTACAAAAACGACGCACTGTTATTCGTCATTGTCAAAATCTCATTTTCTCGAAGCGACTGGCTTTAATAATTTCAGGAGTAACCGATGAATGCATATATGTTACGACAAATAATCCGCCAAACTTTTCCCTAATTTGACCGCAATATATATATATAAACACAGTTTATAGTAACGAAGATAAGACGAACGATTATGTACAAACTTGGGACCAATCATTATCTATATTCAGTTTATTTATTTTCGAACTTTTGAAAAATACTCACATGTATCCCTTAATGATTGGTAATACTTCGGCAGTAACAAGAAAAATTTGTCGAATTTCGGGCATTTGGTATGAAGATGATTCTCCTGTCGAACTGACCTCCTTTGTCTTTGGATGGAATTCTGGTTTTAAGTGAAGTGAAGACAGAAGCTCCTCGTTGATGCCTGTTATCTGTTATTACGACATGTGTATACACCTTAGTTTGTTAAGCAACACATTTAATTAATATATTTGTTATTGGAATATGACATCTGTTGTCCGTCCCTATAAACAATGAAGAAGAGATAAGCAATGCGCAGAAGAAATAATTACTAAAAACGGAGCTTCAAAAAAAGGATATTTAACTCTCCTAGTTGTGTACATATTTTGACCTTCTTGTCGTTTGCAGAGTTTCACCTAAATAACTATTGAAAAAAATTTAATTTTTCAGAATAAAAGACACAGCCTGCCAGTTTGGCCAATCGCGTCAAGAATTACTGGACTTTACAAAACAGAGTTCAGAAAGTTTAAGTCATACGAAACATGAAGTTATCGTATCTCCTAAAAACTAAAACAGACATTCTAAGACAGATTAAAGTGCAAAGCAGGCATGCATCATTATATATTTGAGTGTTTCAAATGCGATGGCGGGCCAATCGCGTCAAGAATTACTGGACTTTACAAAACAGAGTTCAGAAAGTTTAAGTCATACGAAACATGAAGTTATCGTATCTCCTAAAAACTAAAACAGACATTCTAAGACAGATTAAAGTGCAAAGCAGGCATGCATCATTATATATTTGAGTGTTTCAAATGCGATGTCCGGTTCCGCCATAAGTATAGCTTTAGGATAGTTTTACATTTGCTAATTTACTCACCATTTCAACTCCCTTCTTTTCCTCTTTTATCGTTATGTAATTAAGCGCTTCCATTTCAGCCAAAAATTTCGACACCTTCTTAAATGAACTCTTCTTAATTTCAACAGTCTGTAATTAACAGTCGATTAGAGATTTATGGACATTGCGAGCACTCTCGTAAATTTACGCTAGAAGCTGGTCATTAGTCAAATTTTACCACAGGAGTAGATTAAAACATAAATAACGAGTGCATCTTATTACGACGCTTTTTAATTGAAAATTACTTTTTTTTCAACTTCTTTCGTTGGCACACACGTTATGCTTAAATGCGCATTGAGTAATGATCCTTCTAAGGATATTATACAGACAAGGAAAATGTAACCATTGTCGTTTACGTAATAATCTATACAGCCACTGGTTTAGTCGAACCACATCTCCACAAATTGGAGTTGTATTAAGGCACAATGGTTTTTTACGCATATAAAAAACAAAGCTGTTTCCTCGTTAGAGCCGCAATTTTTTTCGCTCACTTTTTCTTTTTCTGAATAAATCTGTTGCGAACAAAAGAAGCTTTAGTAACTTGGATTCTAGAAATTAAGAAGTTGTTCTATGATAAAACCTTCAGTAGTCCGTTATTAAAATTACACAACCCGGTTGTAATTTTGCTCTTGGTGTATCCAATTCAACGGTTCACTCCTAGTCATCGATTTGCATTACCTTATAATAATAATCATATCAATGTATGTCTCAAATGACAATAATTAATATCGCCATTGTCGCATGCCATACCAACCTGTCCATCAGGCGCACATGCCATTACATAGTTGGAATAAAAAATGCTAGTCAAAATTGGTAGCTGGATATGTTTATGCGAACTCTTTAGCGCCGAGAGAAAGCACTCTTTCAACAAATCATCCATTCGCTCCTGTGGATCTCGGGGTTCATTAATTCTCATCTCTTCAAGCGCTTTTCCCAGTTCCTTGTCATCTTCCGCCGGGACCTAACCAAGGCAAGGCATAAATGACATTACAACCCTCTGCGACCAAGTGATGATCAGAATCCTTATGCACTATAGGCAAACTCTAGCTAGTGATTGAAGGGCATGTATCTTTGCTCGACTATCTGCTTTCGACGGTAAACGGTGACGTTAAAAACAAGTTTCTTGATTCAAAGTACTAACCTGTTCTTCTTTGTTTTCCTTGGTTTCTCCATTATCTCCTGCGACGTTATCGTCACATGATTCTTTTTTATCACCATCTGGCTCAGTCTCTTCGACGTCTTCGTCACTGCTAAGAACTGGCTTTTCTTCATCGCCGAGGTCGTGCTTAAAGTCAATGGCCGTCTTCGAACCCATTTCCCACAGATGATCCCCATATATTTGTACAACCTGTAGCGTACGTGACGTAGTTAAATGTATACCAAAAGGAAAAATCGTTTGTTGTCTTTCGTTTAGTGAATAGTGCTAAAGTCAACACTAGCACTGCTTCTCTGGCGCCAATGTAAGCAATGGTCCAGAACAGACATTTCATAAAATTTCGGAACGACAGCTCGAGGCCACGACTACCGAAATAAACTACAACAAAGCTAGTATTTCCTTTCTTAAACGTTAAGGAGAATCTTTCGCCGAATGATTGAAATATTGCTGAAAAGAAGTGCCAGCTAGGTGAGTAAGTTTGGCCTGCAACTCTTACCTGTACAGCCTTGCCTTTCTGGTTCGTCACGAGTTCTTTGCCACTTATCAGCATTACGCCAATAGCTACCGCTTGAGAGCATCCGACGACACGGATCTGTACAACATCTCCCTTCTGAACTCATCATATGAAAAGCATTTAGAATACACAAAGACAAAGGTATCTTTAACCCAGAGTTCCATAGATAAACAAGAATTGATTCCGCCTAAAGCTGATTAAGGTAGTCGATTATATACCTATAATTGATATTATAACTGTGGCTAGCATTCGATATTTAAAAAAAAAAAAACAGCCTAGGGAATTCATCTCATTCGTACCTTTTTGTTATCAAATAATAAAATTACAGACTTACTGAAAGGCCCATATAAGCATCACGGTTTTCGTCCCGAACTACCACACCAGGAATCATTAGGTCCGCGCCATTGGAAAGTTTACGAATGACCGCTTCCCACGTAAGCAGTACTGGTACAGCAGATGGGGCTTTCCATATGGCGTACACTGTTAAGAACCATTTGGATAGGTACTCGAAGACCACGGGGTCAGCGTTTATTGAATAGACCTGGAGTACACCGTTTTTAAATAGACGAATGCGCAGAAGTCACATTATCGCTAAAGCAAAACCTTTTAATACGCCTCTAGGATAAGGTGTTAAATCAACATAAGAAAATTGCACATTTACCTAATATAGAACTAGATTATTATGTTATTCTTACAGCGCAGTCGTTTACATGCATAATGACCCCGTTATGTTGATAAAATAATATATTTTGTTGCTAAAGAAATTTGATGTTTGGATAACTTCGCTACACCTAGCTAAGTATCTGAAAATCCTGTAGTACTATACAGCGACAGCACTGTGAACTAAATTTGTTCCGCGTTTAACTTTGCTAATTATCCTAAAATCTAACAATTCGTTCCAAGGTGGCATGCTTGAAAAGTTCCTACGACTCACTTGCACAATCTCTCCCCTGTGGCAAACAAGCTTTGTCTGTGTAACCTGGTTCTCTTTTGACGTGAGAGGATATGCCTGAGGATCAACCGTCGCAGGAAAACATCGTTCAAGATTGCTGCGAAACTTCTTGCTGGAAACATTTCGAATCGAAAGTACACGAACTTGATTAACGAACCGGCTACAAAACTAAGTTTTTACGAAGAGAAAGGGATTATTAATACAACTAAGCCGCGCTTTTCTTTTTACTGCCACAGCTTCTGTCAACGGACACTATATGCCCACAAAGACGTACAAGACACCGAAGGCACGGGAAAGTCAAGCTTGTTTTATTATACGTACTATCAGGCACTGGAACATCAAGCTTATTGTATCATACATCCTATATAGACACGCGGTGCATGAATCTACTTCGCACATGTACTGCTCTTTTGAACGACGCTCTTCATAAATCCACTTTATGAACCCATAAAATAATAAAATGGTATCAAATATATCAAACAAGCACTTTGACGTCAGTTGCTATAAACCCACGTGAGTGAATTTCATATGATTACACCCACTTTCACACTATGAAATCATATATATATATATATATATATGCTGAGAAAAACATTGGCTGTCGATCTAATAACAAGATAATAAATAAACTCCTTAACTTAAATAAGTAAACTCACCGGTCCGACCCTTTCAATTGCATGTTGGTCTTCACCCGAAAGGGTTTCCGAAACATTGTTGTGACTGGAGCACTGACACACTTTCGAGAAAAGTTGACAAAACGAGTAATCAACTCGCGGTTTCACCAACACCCTGATTTACCACGTTATATTATAAGCGCCGACACTCCGACGACATATGGCAAGCACGCTTTAAAATACTAACTCTACTGAGCAGCGAAGAAAATGCAGCACTTATTTAGATTTGTAGAGAAATGTTAATACGATTTTCGCTGTTAGCACAATGCTAACACAAGTAGACCTTCCCACTCAGGCTAGGAATTTTTCTTCCACAACTACCTACCGCTAGAGCACTCCGTATTTCGGCTGGGTATCTAGTTCTTTTTGTCTCGAGAAAGGGGACAACTGGTCGAGGATTGGGCAAGTCGTCAGGTGAATAGCAACTACAAATTCGAACGTTTTCAAAAGTAGCGCCAGACTATACTTAATTTTTTGTCGTCAATTTGACGAAACATGGCTATAATTAAAATCGAACGATTTACGTTTAAAGTCATTTTGCAGAATAACATTTAATTCGTTTGCTAATTGTGGCACGCACAACCTCAGCAATCACCTCTCACATGCTTATCTCAACCAGCCAGCAAACTATGATATTGCATTAGCGATTTTTTTGTTTATGCCTCAGATAAGTTGGCAGGTTTTGTTCCGCTAGTATAGCAGACGATACTATGTTATTTATTGATGATTGACACCCTTTCCACACTGAGCTGTTTATAGAAAACAGTCTCCCTTGCTGGCGAATTGTTCAGCTGGTAAATGTTCGAGTCCCAGTGCTCAACGAATGTGGAGTTGTCGGGGCGCGTGATCGATAGTGAAGTATCGCAAGCTGGTTGTCGGCCTGATACCCAGTTTCGCGTTTAATATTAACTCTGAGCGGACAGATAATTTTTCTGCGTATGACGATATGATTTCGCGCTACCGAGTTCGAATTGTGTTAGTTTTGCTCTCGACTGTCTCGACGTAAAAATATCGCTTCTACTCTAGTGTGCGGAAATTGGATAGTGGTAGTACATTTTATAGTGTGAAGGTGGTGGGTGTAGTGTGACTTTTTCCGATTGTCAAGTTTGAAAGTGGTGACTAGTAAAATTTGCATACAATACGATGCGACGAACTCGGTTATTGATTAAGCCAAAGGTTGGGCCCTTGGCGGCAGGGCCAGCGGCAAGGCCTGTGGCGGCTACAACCTCAACGTGTACTCAAAGTGCCCCGTTTGCGGTGGAAAATGCGACAGCACCTCCTCAAAGTTTGCCTTCAGTTGCTCTAGTAAAACAGTCATCGGCTGGGAGTGAGTTTTAGGTTGAAAAACTGATTTCTCTGATACCGGGTTGTTTCAATGCTACATTGCCATTGGCGGTCCATAGGTAGTGCCAAAAAGTTCCCACACGTTGAAATACGTAGTCTTCTCAGGCTAATTTATTTTCATAAAAGTAAAGCACTATTCAGTCGCTCCGTTCCACAGAATGACGACGTCTTTACAAATTTGTTTTGAGATGTTTAGAAGCCCACTAGCAGTTAAGGCTTCTTAATTACTCACCAATAATACAATAATAGATCAATGGAGTAAAGCTTCTGCCCAGAGAATTCCGAATGGAATCTTCTACATGACAAAAAAAAGAAGTCTGCAGTGTCGTTACGGTACGCTCGTTCTTTACAATTGATCTTCCGAGTAAGCAGTCATCCGAGAATGGAAGTACACGTGTCATATATGGGTCAAAGAAAATCAGGGCTATGTTGGGCCATATCGAGGCATATCTTGATTGTCATCCAATTGTTTCAATATTAGGCGGAATCGTAAAGATAGGATGTTAGTACTAGATGCACAAGGGCATGTAAGGAGTGAGTACAAAACAGTTTCTCCCAGCCGAGTGTAATATCTGAGCTGTCGAAGTCGTTGTGGGGCGATTCTGGTTTTTGCTATGGTGCTATGCTCAGGTGATATACACAAAAATCAGCTGAAGCACACCAGCGCGCATAGGGCGCACATGCTGTATTACTCGTTCTAATATTTTTTCTGATTTATGTATGAATAAGTTACAGAAATTGAATGGTGCAGAGAAGGAAACAAGCAATAATAATATAGTGATATTTGTACGATTTTTTTAATTCTAATTTAAATGTAGTACTACATAATTCTTTTATCGAAGAAAAACAGTTATTGAAAGATTTGTACAGTTTGACAGGTTACAGTCTGTCCTGCAATTATGTCGGGCATCTATTTGTCATCTGTGTCTTGTCTAAACGTGGATACTGAGCCTCATACAAGGATACTCATTTTACAGACACAAGAAGCGGACTTATACTATATTCGATTAGGCGATTCACAAACTGAAAAAGATAGTTGGAAGCGCGAAGCTCTTCAAAACTTTTATCTCGCTAATCTCGTTATCGTTATTAGTTGGATACAATAACTCGGATAGGTAAATTTCTGATTGAACAGGGCAGTTGATTCTAGATTATTTAAGTGATTATAAAAAGAAAGTAATTAAGCTAAGTTTCAACATGAATGTGTTATCACATATACGCCTTTGAAGGCTATGAACTTCCGGATGATTTTATCTAAGAATGTAACTTTCTTTATATGTAACGCAATATTACCCGGTTGTTCAGCTTCGGAAAATGGGATGCAGTCAACTCCAACTACGCCTACAGCACCAGTGGATCAGGCGGCGAAATGCGATAACATGAGGGTTACGTCCGAATTAATGACGCCCATTAACGCAGAGGAAAAACCAATCACGCGTATAAAGCGAGCTGGACCGCGTATTCCCCCGCCAAAACCCAGCAAACCTCATACTAATGCGCCTTTAACACCAAAGAATACACCAGCGTCAACGCTAACTCTGCCAGAATCTGTTGTTGAAAATGTCTTCGCGCCGCATGTAGAAACCAGTTCAAAGGTACGCCACAGACTCACAAAGATCATGGCCTGCTCGTAAGTTTAAATCTCTTCTAATTGATATATCCGAACCTTCTGTATGTGGACCAGGATAGCGCGAATGTTTTTTGAAATAATGGACCAAAGGCTACTTGAAGGAGCCTAAAGAAGAGGTAATTTTTTCGAAATGATTCATCATGAGTATTTTTTAGTAAAATCACTATTCGTGTGCGAATAGCTTATAGTGGAGATTGTGGTGTTGACGGTTATATGCTTCTTGAAACCTTAATGACAATTCTCATTTAATTATGGGAACGTCAAATGCTGATTAGTAATCAAATGGTGATAAAGGTTACGACGACAGAATGCTAAAATTTCATCGAACACTGAACGACGGTTTCCATTTGCGTTTCACATCGACGAGGAGTTAAAATAAATCGTTTTTTTTTTGTTCCATTATAGTTTTGAACAGTTTTACACCTTTTGGGAAGTATTTCCAAAAAGTTTTATGAGAATTGCGTCATTTTGTCCTTTGATAGAGCACCAAGAATACTTGGTGCTCTATGCCGCTTTGTCGTTAATGTCGAATATTCTCGAAAAAAATTATTTGTTTTTACACCTTAGCCGTAGTAGTTACCTTAGTTGACTGTATATTACTCCCTATTGCTTGAAGGAATTCAAATAAATATGAAAGTACGGAAAATTGCCGCTGCAAAGTATGGAATAATCAAGGATGCAGCCAAAGGCATTTTTAAAAGGTGGTTGCAAGAGTTAACGAAGTGTTATCTTTGAACCCTATTCAAAAGGGTTACTAATAAAAAACTTTTAAAAAAAAAGTTTAATAATTGAATTACTAATTATTGGGATTTATTAATCATGTTCCGTAGGAAATTTTTCTTTTTTTTTTATCAAAAAGGCGGACACTAACTGCACGAAAGAGAGAGCTGAGGAAGAGCAAATAGCAGTCATTGAAACTGTCCACGATGATATCCACGTCGATAAAGCTAGTCTATCTAGGGAGGAAAAAAGTGCGCCAAAATTCGCCGAACCTGCTAAAAAACAGAGAGTGCCGAAGGTCAGCAGGTAATGGCATAAAACAAATGAAAATGTACTTTCTAAATTGAAATCCTTGATTTTTTAAGGTAGTTACCTAAATGAGGCATAACATTTATGTGGTTGTATACGTTTTCACATATTAGAGACCTGTTTTATGCATTGTTTTATGCTTAAGCGAGATTTACTTTTTCATGGTAGATGATCCTAATCACTAAGTTACGTAGGGTGAGATAATAATATAATCGTGAATTATTATACAGTCATATGCATACAATCGTAAATTCCGCAATACTAATAATAGTAATACTTATAAACTGACCCGTTTTCAATGAGTTTTCGACTTGACTCACCATGCTCGTTTTTGATCACAGATCGCATCAGGACCAAAATGACTCCGACCCCCTAGCATCACTGCCTTCGCGCCTCGAACGTAAAGCTGCTCGTAAAGCGAACGAGTTCCGTGAAATGTTGATCGCCTCACGGCGGAAGTTTGCCAAAGTCAAAGAGCCTGTCGACACTTCAAAATTAACAATGCTAGATCTCATCTATTACAATCCACCGGGCGCGCCAATGACTCGACATAAAAACAAGTTAGCAGTGGGCGGCAAGGACAAAGAACTAGGTCGACAAAATGGGTCTATTGGAGGCGATTTGCAGGAGTCACTTGAGCCGGAACTCGAAGATGAGTCGACGCGAGACTCGGCTCAGGGTTCCGGCGCTGGTGGTGACGTCGGCACACCGCCACAGGTTGAAGCAGGTGATAATGAGGAAGAAGAGGTGATCGGGCCACGAGTAGTCGTCGGTGCTGATGGCTCAATTCAGATAGATGAAGCATCACTCGTTATCAGGCGACCTAACCCAGAGGAACAAAGGCATAATCTTAAGGTGAGACTGTGAAGCAATGCTCAACTGACGTAATGGAAGTAAAACTCGACACATTTATTTATTTAGGTACTGAACTATTTACGATGGAACTTACTGTATTGGTAGGGTTTCATGTGTAACGAAATTTAGCTCGCAAGGGTTTAAGAATAAAGCAGAGAAAATTTAACATATTTACAGCGCGTCGTATGTATTCTGGTGAAATGCTATGTAGCACCAAAAATATGCTTGCCTTCAGCCCCATATAAATATGCAATTACAGAATTTGATATTAATCGTAATACTTCACTTTCTGTATGCAAATGGCAACAAGACTTTCGAGAAAATACACTTTTAAGCAGATTGCATTCGAATCGTTAACTATATGTGGCATATTTGCGGTGGCTATTATAACGCTGTCTTATTTAAACGCAATAAATTGGTGTTGTGAATTCGAAGGTAACCGTTGAAGAACCGGGCAAGACCAAGTACGACTCGTTCAAAACAAAGAAAACTAAAAAGTGTACATGGACGACAAGAGGTAACGGACGATTGATATTAACGCAACAACAAAATCAACTCTTATATGTATAAACAAACTATATTACAAATGGTATTGCTTTTTTGGTCACATCAAATTTGTATCTACATCGCAATACAGAATGTTAGGTTGTTATTATTGAAGGAATATATATTAATAAGTAATATTGCTAAACTAGATAAGCGCCATTTTAATCGATGACCTTCTACCATTTTTCTGGTAACACGATAATTCCCTCACTGTAGAATTGTGGTTTCTGGCCGAAAAATTGTGACCAGAAAGTTTTGCATTTTTCCATTAAGCCAGAGTTAACATTATAAAGGGAGTTCTGCAGAAAGCGAAACAGATATTCGCCTGACGGCGCAAAATCCTGACTATACGGCCGATGTATTGAAGTTTCTCATCCAAGTTCCTTGAATTTTCGTCGGGTATCTAAAGACGTACGTGGTTCGACTACGTGGTAATGGAAGACAACGCCTTTTTTGTTTGTTAGTACCGGCCATTCCCTTCAATGGCCTACAGTAACGTTATTAATTGTAAAGGTTCGAACTAATCGTTTTCTCAGACGACAGAAACTCATAATGTATGATTTCTTTCTAATCCCATCAAACACAGAGCAGCACCTTCTTTGTAGTTAGTGTGGGCTTTGCCACACATGAATGCAGAACATATTCTTTTAATTTACACATTGTTGTATATTGTGATCTAATTTTCATCTCTCGTGATCAATTGCGGTTGCTCTATTATGTCGCATTTTTGTGAAGTTTCGCAGATGGAAATATAATCATTGAATTTGCGTTAATTCATGTGACACCCAAAAATCGAGTTTTGTGGTATCTTACTTCAAATATTTCAAAACCCTTTGGTGATGAATTTTTAGGTCCTTGGCAATATATTTTCTATTCCCGTGTGGGTTTTGCCCAACTTTCGCAGTAATTTTTCGCATCACCTTTTTGTGTAAATGGTCGACCACTGCGAATAGCGTCTTTCAGGTCGAAACTCCCGGAACGCAAACGATTAAACCATTTTTAGGCCATTTATCATACATCTTGACCGTAAACAGCACATTTTTTAAAGAATACTGCGCAGTACTTGTGCCTTTATCTTAATATAGAACTGTTTTGGAGAAATCTCGCTCATCTTCAAGTCGCTGTCTTAGGTCACTCTTTGGGCGACGCGATATTTCCTACCCTGAACATTGAAAATTCACAAAACTTGATTGAATAGGAATCTTTCACGTGCCGCTGTTGTCAAACAATACGCACATAATTGTTTGACTAATTCTACATATGTGGTTCTAATTATTAATAGCCTCGATTGTATCCTTTGTTCTTCGTACACCCATCTGTGTTTCACTAAGCACATACAATTTACAACAATAAGCCACAATTTCTATTTGTGTCTACGCATGTCGGATGCGGCTTTGGATACGACATTACAGAGACGTCAAAATTTTACCGTGCATTGTCGATCTGCGGAACTGATTTCACGCTAATGACCCAGTTCTTCCCGACACGTTCCCGTCAAGATCTTAAGAATAAATTCAAGCGTGAGGAGAAGTCGAATCCGTCCCTTGTTGACAAAGCTATTCGTAAGTCTGAAATTATTCTCACAAGCAATTTTCGCGGTTTTAAACATTCCACGTTATTGTATACTATAGCCGCTGTGTTACATAGTGCGACTATATTACACTTATAATGAAAAAAGGGTACGGAAACAATCCAACGAAACATGTGTTTGTGTTAAACTCTGTTCTGGTTAATATCAATCTTAGGTGTTATTTATTCATTTGTGTCATCCATTCTTTTTTACAGATCATCCAACGCAATTTGAGTATACGGAGGGCGAACTAGAGGACATATCTAAGGACGAAGAAGATGAACCAGTGATTAAAAAACCTCGCGAGCCTAGGTCTGCTAAAACAAGGAACGACAAGGTTAAGGAAACTGGAAAAGGCGGTAAAGCAAAAGGAACGAGTAAACGGGGAAAAAAGAAGACCAAGGAAGAACCGCCGGATAAGAATGAGGGCAACAATGACTTGGTAAGCGAGCAAAACTGTTATTGAAATCTATTTATCGCTTGCATTAGAGAGTTGTGGGATAATTTCTAACGTAAAATAGTTTGGTTGTCATGCTTACATTGAAATGTTTGTGATTTCTTATGAAGGCCGAAGGTGACCGGTCTGACAGCGACGAAGTAGGCTTTCGTAACGGAATTATAGAGGACGCGCTGGCTAGGACTAGACGGAAGCGGGCGAAGGTTGATTACGCCGAGATGAATGAGGGAGCACCGGATTCATTCGATGATGAAGGGGACCGCGATCTGGAAGTTGTCGAGGTGGGTTTAACAGAAAAAAAAAATCGCAGACCTGGATGAGCCGCAAGGGGAACAAGGTTTAATTGTGAGAGACTGTCCATGTTGAACAAATCAGTAATAACAAGCAAGGCAAACGAACTTGGGAGAACACTATAGTGGATGTGCAGTACGTGGAAAGCCCAAATAGGGATTTGATTTCACCTCACATTGGACAAGTCTTAGAATCCATTTGACAAGCGGAAATTCTAGAGAAAGATCGGGCCAAATTTTAAATAAAGAGTTTCTACAAAAGGAGAATGCGGAAAAGAGCTTATTGAAGGGGATAGTATAAAGCGTTTATCAGGAGTACAGATGTTGCGCAGCCTTGAAAATACTAGTCAAAAGCTATTCAATGTAAATGCCTCTAGAAAAGAAACGGGCTACGCCTCGAGTTCAGCGCAAATAAAAAGCAAGGTCTAAGCCATCGTTTGGCAGAGACAATTTTGATCCATGACTTACACGGGGTTAATATAGGGTCATCCTCGGGATCAAGTGCTATAGTCGTTGTTGCCGATGCAGAAATAAGCCATGATGCCCTTAATACTGAGCTAAATGGGTAAGAAATAGGTCAACAGTTGCTTGAGGTAGGTCGAAGATCATTAATACTACTTGAGTTAGTTTTTAGAAAGATTAGCTCTTGAAAACATTTCACAGATTTAGACTGAAGTACAACTGAAAAGCTATGTTTTTATTCACAAAAGAAACACGAAGCGAAAAAAATGAATTGCACTAAACGCCAAAACAGAGATGAGTTATCTACTAAGGTGCCTCATGTGTAAATAAACTCTAATCAACATGATAATGTTAGAATAAGGCTCTATGATCTGCAAAACGAATACTGTTTACTTCAATTTCTCTTTATTTCCATTTACTTACAGGAGGATACAGCCGCTGACAATTACGTAATGCTAGATGAAGCTGCACTAACCACGCCGTTTACGCAACCGATACAACAATCAACATCACAGAACGCCCATGCACTAGCGGCAGTTCAACCGTCTGTTCCCTCGACCCAACCAGTAGTTTCTGCAGAGTTGTCTCAAAGCATTGTTACAACTATAAGCAAGCCTTCAGAAAGCACGTCCCCTGTTGCATCTCCAGATCAAGCACCTTTGCCTGAACCCCCAATTCTACCGCCAGGCCTCGAACCTGGCCAGCTCGTATTGTTTGCACCTCGGGACGGTGACAAGGCTCTGCATTTCTTCGTTGTCAACCCACCATTGACAAACAACGAAACATCACCGGTTACTGCAGACTCAACGGTGGTACCCGCCGAAGGACATGAAAGTGAAGTAGAAAATCCTTCGTTATCTATTGAGCTGGATCAAAGTGTACAAGCTGTCTCAGGTACGTTATAATTAAGCAAAATTTACTGGTATTGAAAATGCTATAATGAACGGTTACGACTATACGGTTCTTCTTTAAGGGAAAGTGTGGTTTAATGGCAATAATGATAGTTTCGATCTGGTACGGCATATTGGACCTTTTAGTCATGCCGCATTTCAAATACTTCGCTTCGTATGCCTTCTGTCCGAAAAATGTTTGTTCCGTAAGAAGAGTCATATCGTAGCATTTAGTTCGATTGAGAACAGATGTATCAGTTTAAGTGAATACGGTAATAATGGTCATTACTATTATTAAAATACTCGTTAGTAATTCATTAATAAGTTAACTGCTTTTTAGAGTACTTGTCTCTATGCATATTAATTCAAAAACTTTATTATTGTTAACTCATTACATTCATTTGTCGACAATAAAAATAAGATCAGCTGTGTCTTTGCTTTTTTTGTGCTGATTTTACAAAACAAATAAATATTATCATTATATAGTTATTTTGTTTATGATTGATGCTTTCTAGGAGAATCAAATGCTGGATCAAGTGCAACGATGCCGTCTCAGCCATCTTCCATGCAAGTGGTATCTGTCGAAAAGCGTCCTAGCATACTGCAAGATCAAGTATTTTCGGAGAAATCATACTCGAATGAAACATTCCATGGCGTACCACCTTCCTTGGCTGAAGAAACGCTGCCTGAAGTCACCTTTAAATCAGTCAAAAAAGGTATCTACATGTTTTATTTCAAAGTCGCAGACTATCTGAATTCGACGGCTGAATATATCTGCCTTTCGTAGAAGAATAATAGGTAGTAAACTAAATCTAGATCTCTCAATGGTGTTAATGCCTTCATATCGTTGTACTTTCCAGAGGAAAGTCGAACTTCACAATCCACTGCACAGGGAGACCCATGCTCAGTTGTCATATCCACCGACGATATAGATACATCTACAAATCAGTCACACGACGCTACATCTCCGGCACGAATCGCGGAACACGTGGCTGAGGAACATTCAACCGGGGATCGAGAAAGTGTTCAAAACGCTTCTGATACGTCTCATTTCAACATAACAGCGGCTTCCAGTGCCAAAAAGTCGTTACCCAAAGTTGTCTTTAGATCACGAGCCAAACGAGGTATTACGTGTTCGAAACTTTATTGTACGTCCTTTTATACCATAATGTGGACTATTTTGTCAAATATGTGTAAATATTCAATCAATACAATATAATCAAAATACAGTACATTTTTGTTTCAACCCTGACAATATTATCATCAAGCCTAAAAGTTGGTTATGAAATCACGTATGAATTAAGAATATCTGACTAAGGAATCTAGTCGAACTTATTACTATGCAGGATTTAGACAATGCGCAATCTTCGCCTTGATGAATCCGAGGTGAACTAACTGCATGAAAGTGACACGTTGAATTCCTTATATACCATAGGTTCAGTGCCACCTACGACTGCTTCGGATTCATCGCCGGCATCAGGCGATACACAGGCGACTACCATGGACGAGTCATCAACACTGGCAGTTGACACAGCACCCGAACCCAGGGATGCTTCTGCTTCGACCCATGATAGATCATTGGTCTCCTCGCTCTCCGAGGACACTCCTTCAAAGGAGGCATCGAATCCGAACATTTCCAACGCAAATGTGGTAAAAAACAAGAAACCAGCGATCTTGTCACGCCGAAGAACACCATTGCTCCGGAAACCTTTAAGTGTAGTGACAAAAATGTCAGAACCGTTAAAAGTCGCACCGCAAGCCGAAAAATCTGAGAAGCTAACTGCTACTGGAGAAATTCTAGCCAATGAAGAGGTACTAAAGGATGAACCGAGTTCCGTTGACAGCTTAACACTGAGGAATTCGGATCTTCTTATTAGTAACCCTAAGGAGACAAACCAGCAGAATTACTTGGAAGACGGAACGAGCCTTCAAACAAGCAAGCAGATGGAACGCACAACTGAGGGTGACCCAAAGCAAGCCAAAGTCGTATCCACAGCAAGCAATATTATTGAAGAAAAATTAGCAGCTGACACTGATACTCATCAGCCTTCTTCATCTGCGTTATCTAACAGGAAGACTATACCTGAGAATGTAACTAGAACTGACGACAGTTTTTGTGCCATCATTGAAGAAGAGCCAAAAACACGACGATCATCTCGGCGTGTTGTAACACCTGTCGCACCTGCCTCGGCAAAAGCTATCTCTGCAGTCAAGGCTACGCTTCTAGTTAAAGATGAAAAAGTCGTTAGCGAAACACATGCGGAGTCTGCCGACGTTGCACAAAAACAAACAACCACATCCGCACCACAGCAAGGAGCTGTTAGCTCAAAAGCAAAAGCTAGCACAGAACATAAATTAGCCTCGACTGTTCTCAGCTCTACGCCCATGGAAGCAGGGGATTACACGACTCCGAAGACTTTAGTTCAACAAGAACAACCACAGGATCCCACGGCAACCGTGCCGCCCGCAGCGGCTCGAATCGAAGCGGATATAACGAATTTGCTTCGTGTTGATTTCGAAAAAACAGACAGATCTACACTCGAAAGCCCCAAGGCCGAAACAGAAAATCCCATTACGCGGTCATCACCCCCGCGTTCACAGTCTAGTAGCGTCATGCCATTAGTGGAACCCATCACCCCAACTACTTCTAAAAGGAGGGCGGCATCAAGTGGACGCACTCCAACTGCAGTTGATAACGAAAAAGATTTGATGACAAGTGATGACACGGGATCGAGTAACCATACCTCCTTAGAGCAAAACAAAATTCTTCAAAAACCTTCCTCACTGCCTCTTTTGGACTCACCACTAATCAGGCCATCGATTTCAAGCGGTCATGCGCCGGCCCGAGCCCAAGTTATCTTGCCTCGACGAAAAGCTTCCGCCCATGTTGTACGGCCTATTGGTGCACCAGTGGCAAGAAGCACCGTTCTAACACCCGTCACAATACGGAGACCGCAGTCTACGGCACACCAGAAAGGCGCAAACAAATAGAACAAAAATTCTGTTTCTGCTTTACATTATAAACTCCTCGATTAACATGTTAAAGTGCCAAAGTCGTACGTGTTGCATAAATGGTCACATTTCAAGGAATTGGTGCAAGTGAATGAGCGCTCAACCAACAATGTAATCTATCTGATCGCATTTTAAATTAGCTGAAGCACTGGACAGACAACATTATTAAAATCGCATAGGAAAACGGTTTGAATTAATATTTATATATCACATTTGCGACATGGCAATCAGGCAGTAACTTATAAGTAAACATCGATTCTAGCTGTTAAGAATACTTATAATGAATAACTCAGTTTTCTGCTGATCAGTTCAATTGTTAAAGGCTGGTCGAGGGAAGCACTTCCATTATTTTGATTTGATAGTGATTCGAGTTCGACGCAAGTTTCCCTAAAATAAAATAATTGGCACTGGAAGACCAGCTGTCTAAGGAGCTTAAATAAAAAAAATCCTCGCTGTCATCCTAACATTATGAACAACATTGCCCTATCTGTAGTTGTTTATGGTGTCTCTTTGTTGATTAGTTGCCGCCTGAGACTATAATGTTGGAAGGCTAAGTCGTACGCTAAAACCCTCGTAACTTTCTTTCGCGTTACCGTGGTTATGATCGGATGTATTACAGTACAATTTTATACTGGGTGCTTGTTCGCATTGGAGACGAAAATCTAAAATCTAGATTACAGCAAACTGCAAATGAAGCCAGAATTTAGTTAGTTGTTGTGAAAAACAATAATTACAGTTTGACGAGGTACTATTATGGTCAGCCATCTTGTTGCTGTCTATAATTAATTGCGGAAAAAAGGAAGCCTCTCCTCCTGTTTTTTGCGACAGTGTAATTAACAAGATGCCGTTATACAAAAGAGTTCGCTGGTTCATGAGCAAGACAGATTTTATCTGCGATCTCGACCAAATGAGTTGACATAGTTCCCGGTACTAATTTTACTGGATTACTTCGATACAATCGAATTTGTAAGTCATATAAGGGACGACCAAAGCAGTGTAATTGTTAATCGCATTGGCTGCACAGTGTGATGTCATGATGATGGTAGAACCGTGAGCGAAGATTCGCATAATTGTTTTAACCGTAGTTAAGTCGTTGATTTAAGTGTCTGGCTGTGTATACTGCAAACAGTTTAAAGTTAGATACGCGTTGCCTGCTGGTTGTATAAAGCATTGTTAATACCAAGATATTAAGAAAAGACACAGTGAACGTGAGTCGGGCAAAAAGAATACATTTCAAACGGAGAAATGCATTAATGAACGTACGCGAGTTAAGTGTAGTACGGTTGCATGATTTAACAAAGACATCATCGCAATATATGTATTTCTATAAATTTTTATTACCATTGTTATTACCTCCATTGCTATTATTATAAGGTCCTCTGCATTCTACAAAGCAAAAAAAACGCAATAGCATGGTCCGTAAATACATATAGAAAGTGTAAATACAATGAGACAACCTGCGTCCAATGAAAGTAAGCGTCTTTACTGGCGACTATTGAGTTAATGATGTTAACGCAAATTACAAATCGATTACTGTAAATATCAACACGAACCTATAATAAAAGCCAATATCAAGTACAAATACAAAAATAAATATATGGACGTAATTTAATTTAATATTATGGTTGTAATTATTTAATGTGGTCTGCAACTTGAGTGGACGCCAACCCAATATTCGGCTTATGGCATAGGATGAACTATGATTCTCCATTACTGTCGCAGAAAACATCCTATTTGAGAGAAAATATATGTAGCCTAAATTGCGGTAAACAGAAGATTGGCCTTTAGGTTGATAGCAGAAAATGATTAGGTAAATATCTGTGGTTTTTTCTTTCTGGAAATACTATTTTTTTGTTTGTTGTTACCCGAAATGAATAAGGAAATAAAGCGAATTACGAACAATGTAATAACACCAACCCGACTGCTAAAAAATAGTCCGTGCTATCTTCAGTAATGGAATGTCGTCTAATTTTTCTAAACTACTTCCTTTTTTTTTTGTTTAAAAATAAACGTTATAATCCAGAACAGTACAAAAACTATATAAAATCGCACGATGTATAGCCTCTGATAAATTGAATTTTCTTATGAAATATAAATAAACTGCTAACTCCTTAAAAACGGGTAATGCATTTAATCTTAAAAAAATTGTTGCCTTTTGAAAATTTAGGAAAATATTTTACAATATTAATATATATATATACTTTACTATATAATTCTTAACGAGACGCACTCCTATCTCCCTTTTTGGAAGCGATTGTATACTTGTTGAATATAATTCTAGCGAATATTTTGTAGTATATCGTGAAATCTCGGCTTTTCTTTTGGTCCATTTACTCGACTATCTTTTCTATGCCTTCGCTTCAAACTCGCCATCTCCTTAATTAAGTTCGCAAACCACACACATCTCATTGATTTCATGTCAAAGCATTTTCCCGCGTAAGCCTGTCGCTTGTGAAATTTTTTCATTATTGCCACATTGTGCTGAGATCATTTTTATTTACTGCCTATTCAGACCGACATTATTTTGTTTTTTCTTGAGTGATGTCTTTATCAGTATGGTTCTTGCTCATACGTGAGGCGCGGCACATAAAAATGAATCAGTGCAAAATCGTTGTCGGTACAAGAGCAATAATCAGAAGCCAACCGTGCTGCGCAGTGAAGTTTGTGTTTGGCAAAGGGATCTGTGAAATTCGCTGCGCTATAGGCAGGGATCTTCCATTTGTTGCGTATTCGCCTTGACAGAAAAGAGAGCGTTGCCCAGGGAGTTCTCATGATTTGTCTTGCCGGTTATTGTCATCGCTTGGAGCTCGTGTTCCAATTACCCTTTCCCGCACGGGCCAATGGCGCGAATACAGCGCCCAACGTTGCTCAAGGTTGTGTCTCTCTGGTTTGTTTGTGTACAATTTTGCGCGCCTCCTCGCCCATCGTTCATGTTCTTTCCAAGATGGCCGCTCCTGATGGCACCAATCCGACCAATAAGGTGACTCCTTCGAAGGCCACGTGACTCAACATTGACCAATAGCTAGCCTCCCATTTAGTTTACACTCTCTATTTTCGTGATGAGTACCATAAGTGTTCATGCCGAACCGACTACCAAAATAACAACAACAACAACAATTTAATAAACTATTTCAACCCACGCAGTCTAACTTCGTCCCTTAGCGACTAGGAATCACCACTACTAAACACCACATTGTACTTCTTTTTGGTCAACTCCGCAGCTTCGCCAAGCTTCTCCCGTCGTCTATAGCTGAGAGAGAAGTGGAGCCGGACGACTGTATGTGGACAACGCGCGAGGAGGTTTGGTTGTACGAGCCGCGGCGGCGGCACGCAAAAACAAACAGACAACCACGAGAGGGTTGGGAGTAGCAGCGACAGGCAGCACAAACAGTCGTTCGTCGCCGTATGAGCGGCTGCTGTTGCCGAATCGAAAATACTCAGCCAAACAACAGCGAGCAGGTGTAAGGCGTATACGCTTAGGCGCCTCACCCTCACACCATAATCGACAGCCGGCTACACACAACATCGATGATACACACGGGCACAAGGCTGTAGCAAACGTAGGCCAGCTCAATCGACAGAGAACGTACGGTAGTGTGCTGTGTGCTACGATAGCAGAACAGCGAAGCTGGTAATGGTGTTGCTGCTGGGGCTGTTGGACTGGCGCTGCTCGTTGCCCCCTGTCTGCGTGTCATTCGCCGATACTACTTTTGCTTCTAGCAGCTGAACTGAGTAGGAGAGTGGCTGCCACCGGCCGTACGGTTCTTTCAGTCCGGCCATAGTATCGTCGTCCATTGAAGAGGCAACCAACTAATTGACTGCAGCTAGCACGGCGCCAGCAGCAGTTGCCGGCAGCTCCCTATCGTCGCTAGAACTGCCGCGGCTGATGGTAACCAGGAACATATCGGCTACTGCGCGCCAAGCAAGACAGACAAGGAGAGAGCTCTCTACGCACACAACAACTACAGACCCTAATGTATAGGGGTATAATCCGGAAGAGTACGTACCAGACAGAAGACGAATCCCCGTAGGCCATTCTAATGTTCTAATTGACGGTACGTCGAGATGCCTGTTGTTTGCCGTATATCTGCGATGGCAACCTCTTTGTGAGTCGCATTTTACCTAGCTGCACGAACCGCTGAAGTGTCTGTCTGTCGCTGTTGGCTGGCGGGACAGCCTGCGAAGAAAGAAACAGCCACATCTCGCGGATAACAATGGCTATCGAGCACGAGTAACGAATTGGAAATTATTTGCGTCAACAGTAAGACATGCCGTCACAAATCGCATCACATTAAGCGATAGGATGTTACAACAGCTCATAGAAAAAGTAAAGGTAACCGCGTATTTCACCGGGCTGAGCAGCAGCGAATAGGTGGCAGGCAGTGCTGTAACGTGTACGTGATCACCTGCGTTGCTTGTGACACACGCAGGGAACGAAAGTGAAATAAGTGTTAGAATCAAGCAATAACGTGCCGCCGTCTTTTGCGTGCGAAGCAGAGCCATAACAAGTTATATGGGGCGAAGCCAATGAGTTTCTGTATCACTGTGACTGTCAGCAGCTCAGCCACGCGCGCCCACCTTCAAAATACTTCCTTACATTATTGTTGCTATTTGAAATTATAACACACTATATCAAAGACAACAAATGCGCAAGCCAGCTGTTTGAACAGGGTCAAAGGATACTTACCGATAGGTTTATCGCCAAATCTCAACAATCGTCCTACCGCCTTTAGCGGTTTTCATCCATATCAGCTCCGTACTGACCGCCACCGACCGTCAGTTTTCGTCATCGTCTCGCCGCCGGTGTGGTTGTTTTTATTGCGGATGAACCCGCGCGCGCCGAAGATCTCTTGCCGTACTGTTCCGAGGAATCGCCGGTGCTGGGTGAATGTGCGCGATTCGACTGTGCATCGCGGTCCGTGTGTCGCTGTGCTTCTCGTTAGTCCGTCCGATCGTCAGTCTACGAGTGTCCCACAGTGCGTGATGGAGTCCGGCTCTGTCGAGTGCGTGGATGTGTGCGTGTAGCCGTGTGTCGTACGTGGATGCACATCTATGTATTCCGCATTTTGACAAGAAGGCAAAACGGATTGCTTATTTGAGGAAATGTTGCCAGCATAGTTGTCAGTGATGGTGATGATAAAGACAACTCGGAGATAGGGTCCGATCGTGGAAACGCTGGGTGACGGCTGCAAGCGGCAGCCATACCGATTTGTCCAGTGAAGTTCTCCTTGTTTGTTGATATTTCGAGGTTGTGTTGACGTTATGGTCTGACCGAGTGAAGTTGTGGAAGAATTGGGCGAACCGAGGAATTTGTGTCAACTACGGCTGTGGCTAAAAGAAATTGCGTACCAGCGAGTGTGTACCCCTCTTTCTGCACTTGTGTGCGAAAAAACGGCCGTTCATCGGACCGTTTGCCTCCCACCGGTGCCCCTATTAGAGAACGTACGTACGAGTGCCTACGGATGCTATACGATACAGAAAAAAACGGATTTGAATTTGCAGTGCATCGACTTACAACAACAACGACAGCGGTATATCACCAAGAACGGTGAGTATACAACAGTTGATTAACCGAGCCGACACGGTTAGATCTGCTCATTTACTTATTTGTCTAATGGCTTTGCTCTTCAACGGGCTACAATAATGTCGGGGCAATGGTCTGTATGGGAAAGAAAAGACTTGTCGGGGTCGGTTTTCTGTAAAGCACACGTTTCTTGGCGCCAGAAATTTTTCTGCAATTGACTAGAAGTACAGTCGTTCTACTGATTACGGAAAAAACGGTTGTAGCAAAAAGAAAACCTGTGCAAATCAATGTAACGCAATATAAAAGAGAAACAAGTGTTTTGCGCGCTCCCTTCAAGTATTGTTGTATACGGCGCATACCTAAACTACTATGCTTACATTCGGATATATAGTCAATGGAACAGGGCGCGAACAGGAGGCGGGAAAACAACATGAGCAGTGGGATTTTAGAGGGTACTTATTTTTTTGTCTCATGTGGGACACTGAAAGAGGGAAACTTCAACACAAGATCTGTGGATGCGTGGGTCAATCCACCAATAAATCGCCGTTAAGCTGGCGTTTCCTATGGCAAGACAAGGTAAGGCAAGACAAGATTGACAGCACCTGAATTGTATTTACCGCGTCGTTTCTGTCATAAATCCATTGCTCGTAGATACTTTTCAAATGTTGTGAGCGAGGATGACAGCCTTCTTGGTATCATGTGTCAGCGGCTAAGGAACTCTGAAATAAATTTCGGTCAAAGTTTATAACCATAAGAAGAAGGAGCTGGTAGTAGACACTCTCATTGTGACTCACATGTTCAATAGTACCTGTATGTACTTGCATACTATATATGCCAATAAAGAGTGTGCACATTTGGGCAACAAAGAGTACAGAAATGTTATTAGATTTCTTCTGTACAAACGACAGAAACAAGCACTAAGTATCACATGTTATTCCATAAAGCCAAATTGTAGATACGAAGTGGGCTGTATGGAAAATGATGACTACGGTGAGGTTTAGAGAATGGATCATTGCAAAAGAGTATTTATGGTTTTGATTGAAATAGAAGAGTATGTTTAGTCTGCATGGCTCAACACGATTGTAGCTTAAAAAATGACAAATGCAAAGTAACTATTGGTTGAAAATGAGAAACGCCGTTGAAAATCAAAAGTGGATAGGTAAAAGATGGCCATTATTCACTTCTGTGCTCTATAAACAGGAACATTTTAGTCTCCTTGCCAGTGTCGGTCTTTATTGGCTAGCTATCAATATTTCCGAGAGAACACCTTTAAGTATTTGATCTATCAACACTTAGCCTGATGTAGATGCTCCATACTGTTGACATACTGAGTGGAAACTGTAAACGTGCCATAACTTGCGTTGAAATTGAGAAAATTCTTTCCCATTTATCGTGTCGAAATCGCGGAAATCTCTGGACGACCAAAAAAAAAAACGCCAAAATAATGTATCCCTTAGTGTTTTCGACTGGGCCCATTTACTTAATTAAATCAGTCGGTTGCCACGGAGCACGCAGTTACTGGATACGCGTCACAGCCATAAATAAAACAAAGTGGCTGGTTGCTGTTACCAGCTTCCATTTCTGCTCTTCGCCCGAACAACATGTCGAATAACAGTGATTCATAGTTGTAACAAGGCTGTACGACGAACTTACCTCTCTTCGAACTGACACTGCTTGGTCCTACAAAAAATATCAATAAACCAACGTACTCAAATGAAGGTGAATTTGTACTGTATTTTTGTATTTGACAGCATAAATAGTCAACGTACTGAGTTCAGTCGCTGACACTACTATCACATAGACCTGCTGCCTAGTAATGTTTTAACGTTACTTCTAGTTTTCTTTTTCCCGTAAGGCGGACAGCAACAGGTCGAATAGACTAGTGGGGTTTGTCGAGTGTTATCATCGGTTCGTCATTTTACCTGCTAATCCTTTGACAAAGCTTGTTATTCCGACAAACTCTTTCAGGAACCGCTAGTCTGTTCTACTAGCTAAGTGCTTAAATGTCATCAACGTTTACAACCCGGCCTCTAAACGCTGAAACGGGGACGGACTGTGTACGTCAGCTTGTACCTTCATATTAATCTATGCATTATATTTCAAAACGTAAAATTTGCCCTGGTTTCACTTACTGAACATTGACGATCGACATTTCAGTGCCGACAACCCGCGCAAATGATGACACTCGCATGATAGTAACGATGAAACCCTACCAAATATTAATGACGTTTCAAGACGGCTAGCCTTTGAACCGAGCGTGCTTATACTACTACCATGTACATGATTCTTGCAGGTATTATGAACGTAATCTGCCTAAAAACAGTACACGTTCTCGAGATGTTATAGTAATAACAGTATTATCCGCTGCGGCCAAAGGCCATTACACTTTTGGTTAGTGACATTTAAACGACACGGAAATTCTGGCGCTGAAGTAAAGCGTTCAATGTTGCCTTGTGCTTGGCCAGCGCAGTCCTCTTGGCGGCCTGCCATCTATCGAATTGAGCTCTGGATTATGATTTCGCCGCCGCGAGGTCACCGGTTACCAAGCTGAGCTGGTCTCGGGCAGGATCATACTGCAGTGACAGAACATGCTTGAAGAATACCCTCGAGTTGGGGCCGCATGTGCTACTTGTCTGTTGGGCTTGTCTGGTTGGCTCACGCTACACATATATATCAAACCCTTGATTGATGATTGTTACAGTAGAAATTTTCCATCTTGCATTATTTCACTAGATCGAGCTATTAGTCAGGGCGCTGCTTGTGGCTGTCTGTCATTTAGATGTACTACAGTTAGGAGAATTGTTTCAGTTCGACTACATCAGTGAAACTAGTCACATATATATATATTTAGCCTTAGGACCAATCTTCATACAGTGGTTAAGCTTCCTCTGCGAACATATTTCGATGGTCGGCATATGATCGGAACGGTATGAATCCAATACTGATGGAAAGCGTGGCTGATGCGCTTCGTATATGGTTCATATTATAACCGTGGTAACGATACTAGCCAAATTTAGGATTTCTTGTGGGAACTTTAATTTATTTCCAGTGAAAATTTAATAGCTTACATGAAATGTATATGCTTAAAAATGGGTTAATTCACATGCGATTAAGGTCGACGCCGCCAAAAAATTCTCAAAAACGCCAGGCGGCAAAAATTTTCCGTTCATTTTTATCCGCCATGGTACTTCGTCTTAAACAAATAATCAAACTGATAACGATCAGCTGTGTACGATAATATAGAGAGATTATTGTCAGTGTCGATCATAAATCCTATTTATTCGGATTCCATCATGTAGGCTACATGTATTGATCTTAGTCAATGTAGTAACTTATGATCTGGTCCTCTCGGCTGCTGATACAAATACTGAATATTTCTTATCAGAGCGGACTTCATCTGTTCAACGTGCATGGATATTTTTAAAAAATGTAGCATACTCAGAATATAACATACATTCATTCATCTATAAACTCATATTATTTTTCTCTTCAGCAATAGCGCCAGCCAAAAACAACTTGTAGTAATGTTCTTATGTTTATAAGACGCGATTGTCCACTTAGATATTTTACTGGAAATTAATGGAGTTCTATGGTTCAGTGGCTACGCGCGTGTCTCAGTTAGTGACTAATACGGTATGTGCTTGTTTTTTATGTCTGTCATAGGCAATATTTTTTTATAAAATTCTACAATATATGTAATATATTTCCGAAATATTGTTAGTATAGATATCGCACAACAGGTGCGTAAAGAAGCTAACGTATAAAATTGACAAAAACATACGTATAATAATGTATATTAATATGTCGATATGTCTTGTATTTGCTGATTTTATTTTTTGCGCGCGAAAATCCATTATGCTTGTCCACCCGACTCTATTGATAATTGGTCGATATTCGTAATGTTATTATTTTTTATTGCGGTCAATGTAAAACGAAAACATTTCGGCTAGGTAGATATAGGCACGGTAGATCATTTTTTTGGAATATTTACACAGACAGACACGTAAAGATACTCGCATATCATAAACAATTTGCACAAGCGAAAGCACTTGATTCGGGTGAGGAAAGTGGAACCGGTCATCGGCCAGGGCAACTTTTATGCTATTTATAACAACTATTGAATCCGATAGCAAAATTAGGATGAAAATCCTATATTTTCACTTGCATTCTAGCATTATTCGTACTTAGCGTTTAAAATTATAACGCAATTCATGTCTTATTACTTGTTTCTCGTTGCTGAACTGCAGTGGCAGCATCTTCTTCACCGTTTTTTGGCACGGAGCTTGGAATTTCTAGATTATTGTGCGAAGTCCAAGACGTACGGTTTAGTATGTATCGGGAGGGAATGAAAAACGTTTGTGTGTATTGCTGTTGCGAAAGACAAAAAAGGAGTTGGGGGATATTCGGTGTGTTCACTACGGTGATGACTCGCCATTTGCGACGAGGTCAACTTATGATGGACCTTTGCCGCCAAGAGTGGACGGCGGTTTCATTACGTCTACGTACTGTTTGCTACAATACGAATGCAGTTAGTTACTACATGTATGGATATTGTATAGCAACGGAACAAACGACTATTCAAATGCCAGTTGATGTAACAATTTTCCGGTGCGAAAAACTTGTTTTAATAGTAGTTTGTAATAAAATTTATTACCGTTCTTATATATGTTTTCAATACTAATAATTATAAAAAAGTAACTTATATATTCACACAGGCCGTACAATACGTGCCTGCGGCAGGACCTGGAGCAGCGATCTTTGGTCTCTCAGCCAAAGGCACGGCCGCCTAATCCACCGCGTCGATAATAATAATAATTGTAATAATACGTAAGTATGTTACTTCGTTGTTATACAATGCAATTAAATCGAAATCATATTACTCCCTTATTAAAAATCATACATTTGTATATATATATATATATATATATGCCGCCGAAAAACACTTGTGTGCCCGTCAGAGAGCGTGACTCATGTGTTTTTGTAAACTATCTTTTTGGAATGATAAAGTGAGTACCAACCGAACT